TAAACTTTGAAATCAATGGTTTTTGTTTGCCATACATTTTAAAGTGAATAAAAACGGAGTCAAACGTAATAGTTACCTTGTAATTGCCCCTAGCCTATCTGATGCAGTATCAGTATGGACTATGGTTGTACAGTAGTAGGCTTACTTGTAAGCAAAGCAGTGATTTCATTGTGTCGCCCTTGCATGTGTTGCTTTTTTCATGCAATTGATGTAATCGAATTTATAGGCTCAGTCTGTGTGATTATGATCAGTAAAGTTTGTAGTATGTTGCAGTATAGGCCTAGATATTATGCCTACATGATGAACCTATGGAATGGTAAATTCCATATTTTATATGTAAAAATAAATAAAGGCTAATGAATCCTATCAAATTACAGGATTACCGAACCAGGAAACATTTTTTGGGGGGTCTGTTCATTGTTGCAAGAGGAAAGATGATTTGTGGGCATATTGACATACACTGTTAACACGATTTGTTTACACATTTATTTTCTATCAACTATCTCTTAAGTGTAAAACAAGCCCATTCTTAAATGTTTACCCAATAGCTCAGTGGAGATGAGAGATTAGTCATTGTGGCTGTTTAGACTACTGTGGCTTGTTTTGGGGAGGTGGTTAGGCTAGGGCTCTCCAAACCTATTCCTGGAGAGCTACCCTCATGTAAGTTTTTGCTCCAGCCCCAGTTGTAACTAACCTGATTCAGTTTATGAACCAGCTAATTATTAGAATAATGTGCACTAGATTAGGGTTGGAGCGAAAACCTACAGGAAAGTAGCTCTCCAGGAACAGGGTTGGAGAGCCCTAGGTTAGGCCCTACTTACATTTACATTTGAGTAATATAGCAAAGGGAAACTCGGTCCTGGAGCCCCCCCCCCCCCCCCCCCCCCCCCCCCCCACAGTCCGGGTGGCCATTTTATTAATTGTTCAGCAGTCTTATGGTTTGGGGGTAGAAGCTGTTAAGGAGTCTTTTGGTCCTATACTTGGCACTCCGGTACTGCTTGCTGTGCAGTAGCAGAGAGAACAGTCTATGACTTGGGTGACTGGAGTCTTTCACAATTTTTTGGGCCTTCCTCTGACACCGCCTAGTATATAGGTCCTGGATGGCAGGAAGCTTGGCCCCAGTGATGTACTGGGCAGTACGCACTACCCTCTGTAGCACCTTACGGTCAGATGCCGAGCAGTTGCCATACCAGGCGGTGATGCAACCGGTCAGGATGCTCTTGATGGTGCAGATGTATAACTTTTTGAGAATCTGGGGACCCATGCCATTTCTTTTCAGTCTCCTGAGGGGGAAAAGGTGTTGTCGTGCCCTCTTCACGACTGTCTTGGTGTGTTTGGACCATGATAGTTTGTTGGTCATGTGGACACCAAGGAACCTGAAACTCTCGACCCGCTCCACTACAGCCCCGTCAATGTTAATAGGGGTCTGTTCGGCCCGCCTTTTCCTGTAGTCCACGATCAGCTCCTTTGTCTTGGTCACGTTGAGGGAGAGGTTGTTATCCTGGCACCACACGGCCAGGTCTCTAACCTCCTCCCTATAGGCTGTCTCATCGTTGTCGGTGATCGGGCCTACCACTGTTGTGTCATCTGCGAACTTAATGATGGTGTTGGAATCGTGTTTGGCCATGCAGTCGTGGGTGTACAGGAGGGAACTAAGCACGCACCCCTGAGGGGTCCCAGTGTTGAGGATTAGCGTGGCAGATGTGTTGTTGTAGATGAAGGAGAGGAGAAAGGTTAAAGAATGATTTTTAAGCCTTGAGACAATTGAGACATGGATTGTGTATGTTTGCCATTCAGAGGGTGCATGGGCAAGACAAAATATTTAAGTGCCTTTTGAATGGGGTATGGTAGTAGGTGCCAGGCGCACCGGTTTGTGTCAAGAACTGCAACGCTGCTGGGTTTTTCACGCTCAACAGTTTCCTGTGTGTATCAAGAATGGTCCACCACACAAAGGACATCCAGCCAACTTGACACAACTGGTAAGCATTGGAGTCAACATGGGTCAGTATCCCTGAGGAACGCTTTCGACACCTTCTAGAGTCCATGCCCCGACGAATTGAGGCTGTTCTGAGGGCAAAAGGGGGATGGTGTTCTTAATGATTTGTAGACTCGGTGTATATGTGTGTGTGTGTGTGTGTGTGTGTGCATGAGTGACTGCATGTGTGCTAATGTGCGGAGAATCAGAGCAGGTGGTCAGTCCAGTTCAAGTGTTCATTAGTCTTATGGCTTGTAGATTTAAACTGTCTTTGAGCCTGTTGGTATCAGACCTTATGCTCCGATACCGTCTGCCCGACAGTAATGGAGAGAACAGCTCGTGTGTGGGGTCCTTGACGCTGCATGCCTTCCTCAGCACCGTTTTGAGTAGATGTCCTGGATGGGTGGGAGCACGGTCCCAGTGATGTACTGGGCGGTCTTCACCACCTCCTGGAGGGCCTTGCAGTCATGGACGGAGCAATTCCCGTACCAGGCTGTGATGTAACCGGTCAGGACGATCTCTCGATGGTGCAGCGGTAGTATTTGGAGAGGGGGCATCTTATCAGTTCCATCTAAGGGGGTTGGTAACCACATCAGTGACATATTCATACAGTACATGACATGAGGAGGCTAGACCGTATGCAACAGGCCAGATGTCTAGGTTATTGAGACTGTATCACAACACTTGGTTTCTGAGATCCTCTATTATAGTTTTGAAAGTTCCAGTGGTAGCGTAGTCGTTCCTAGTCCAATGTCCCGGTTCCACAGTAACCTTTCTCCATCTTCCAGGGTTAGGACTATTCCAAGCCGATAGGCCTACCTGTCCCTTGTAGCAGATATTCAGTTGAAGTTGTGCCCCCCTATCCGTTAGCTAACTGTTCTGGCTTGGAAGGCCAAGTGGCTGGGTGTGGCTCATTGCAATTTGTAAGTCGCTCTGGATAAGAGCGTCTGCTAAATGACTTAAATGTAAATGTAAAATTGCACTTTGATGAAGTTCTAATGGAGATTAGGCTTAATTGAAAGCCTTTTGACTGTTAAGCCTATTGATAGTGCTTTGTACTCATTAAGAAGGATTGTGTATGTTGGCTTCTGGTGGGATTGAGACTGCTTTAGTCAGAATCAGCCTTGAGATTAGCAGCTCAACCTCTGTGACATTATAGGCTCGGCTATATATTCCTCGAGCTTGACCCATTGAGGTCAAAGCAGAGCATTAGAGATTATTACCCTACAAATAATCCAACCCTCACTAGAGTTCATTCAGACTATCCTTTTCAAAATCCAATGAAAGGTGGGCTACTTCGGTCGTGCCACATCCAAGGATAATGTAGTGCATTTGAATAGGATTCCAGTATTTTCCCCATTGTGTAAACAACATTAAGCCCTATCATTTATTATTAGCTAACGGTGTCTTAAACTAGTGCTTGAATGTATTGTGCTTGAGCTTGTGAAACCAAAGCTTCTAAGGAAAAGAGGAGGAAATCTTTATGACCTTTTCATTGAAAATGTGATGTTGATCCCTGATGCTGCTTACAAGCCCTGACCTAGAAAGAGAAGCTCAGCCAAGTGAAGAAGAGCCATGGTTCTTTTAGATGGAATCTTGGATGTTAGCTCATAAATATCTCCATGATTCACAACAATCCCACCCTCTAGTTTTTTTTCTGTGCTTGCCTAAGTAGTGTTTCTATGTTGGCACTCAGCAAAAACGTCATTACTTAGGCGTTTGTGTGTCTTCTGGCGTTACGTCGACAAGAGAAGTGTACTCTTCCTCTCTCCCCTCTTTATGTGCAGTGCCGTGTTGGCTAGTGCCAAAGCACTCATAAGGAAAGGGATTGACCTTAGAGGAATTGAAGACTGTGCCAGTGAAACAAAGTGGCCCTGTGTCTGTTTGCCTGGCCTGAATAGGGATGTCAACAAGCGTGTATGTGTGTGCCCGTGCGGGTGTCTCTGTGTGTGTTTGCAGGGAAGATGCTCAAGTCTAACCTCCCGAGTGGCGCAGTGGTCTAAGGCACTGCATCGCAGTGCTAGCTGTGCCACTAGAGATCCTGGTTTGAATCCAGGCTCTGCTGTAGCCGGCCGCAACCGGGAGACCAATGGGGCGGCGCACAATTGGCCCAGCGTCGTCCAGGGTAGGGGAGGGAATGGCTGGCAGGGAGGTAGCTCAGTTGGTAGAGCATGGTGTTTGCAACGCCAGGGTTGTGGGTTCGATTTCCACGGGGGGCCAGTATGAAAATAAATAAAAAGAATAATGTATGCACTAACTGTAAGTCGCTCTGGATAAGAGCGTCTGCTAAATGATGTAAATGTAAATGTCAGTCTCAGGACTCTCATTTCCATCCCCTCACACACATGCCTCTAATCCAGGAGAGGAGCAGCCCCTCCTTGGCCTGTGCTGGGGATCTGGGTGTTAGGTCATGCGCCTGCTGTAGGGGGAGGTACCTACCGGATGGTTGGGACTGGGAGTGTGTCAACCAAAAAAATCTCCATACTTTTTTATTTGTTTAGCTTACTTATAAGAAGCCATAGGCTATACAAAACTGTCAAGTTTGACTTCCTCTGCACCTTGCAGACTAAGTAAGTTTGTTTGCATTTGTAGTTCTACTTGTAAACTGAAGCGCACGTGTGTGTATGTGGACGAGCAGCAGACTGCCGCAGGTGTGCAACTGTGGCCCAAAAGGTAGAGGCGGAGCATAATGCATGGAGCATAGCCCATAGCATGTGTCTATGAGCTCAGCCCATCTCGGCTCAGCCCTGTTTGTGTAGGACTATATGCTCAGGGAGGGGCCACCCTCCAGGCTTCCCCAGTGCTCTACACTCCTCTATATCCCTTTAGTCTCTTCTGCTGTCTGGTCTGATGAGGGAGGGGAGTGTCTTGTCCTGCTAGCTCTGTAATAGCCCATGCCTCTGTACTGCTGTCCCTCACCAAATGGAAAATTCTTCCAAGAAGTGGGGGAGTCGGGTTGCTTCTAGTGTTTGCGTTTTTTAATGGTGTTTGGGTGTCACATGGAGCTGTGATTTGCTGTTATTAGGCTAGATGGAGCGGAGGCAAGGCTGGGTCAGCCTGGGGCCACAGACCAGCTGATGCGCCGTCATCCGGTCTGAGCTGGAGTCAGAGGCAAAGGAGGGCCCAGCCAGCCAGGCTCTCACAGACACATCCACTGAATGTAGTGTAGCCTACTGTACAGTACATCCCCTGTTCAGGATGACAGATGAAGCTTCACAAGAGGCAGACATGTTGGTCTCTAGAGAAAGGGACTGTGAGACCACTGCTCAAGGAGCGCTGCTAACCAAATGTGTTGTTATTCAATCACGCAGACCAGGAATAGGCTATCCCCTTGAAAACATAGTGATGGCTTATTGACAGGAATTGTATACAGAAGGCTATTCCTGTACTCGAGGCTCTTGACAGTATGTTAGGGTTATGTGTATTGGACATGAAGCAAAGTTACTAACTTAGATGAATGTAACAACACCAACAATTTATAAACTTTATAAGCCTAACTCTCTCACTTTTCCCCCTCTGCAGCTTCCAGTCAAAGTGGGCCAACAGAACACTCACACCAAAGTCAGCACGGAGCACAACAAGGAATGTCTGATCAACATCTCCAAGTACAAGTTCTCATTGGTCATCAGTGGCCTCACAAACATACTGAAGAATGTGAACAACATGGTGAGTGTGTGTGTGTGCGCAATGTCAGTTGAAGCCTATAGAGCCGGGAACAGTGTTGGAGAAGTCTCAACCATGTCTCCTGCTCCTCTTTCTCCCCTAGCGAATATTTGGGGAGGCTGCGGAGAAGAACCTCTATCTCTCTCAGCTCATCATCCTGGACACACTGGAGAAGTGCCTTGCTGGGGTGAGGATCCTTTTTTTCTCTTAGACGTTCCCCATAAAAATACAAATAAGGAAATTATGGATGCATGTCGCTGTTATATCTCCGACTCTCTCTCTCTCTCTCTCTCTCTCTCTCTCTCTCTCTCTCTCTCTCTCTCTCTCTCTCTCTCTCTCTCTCTCTCTCTCTCTCTCTCTCTCTCTCTCTCTCTCTCTCTCTCTCTCTCTCTCTCTCTCTCTCTCTCTTCATTCTCCTTTCCTCCCTCTGTGTCTTTCCTGGTTTGTTTCCTTGTCTCCCTGCATGCTCTCCTAATACAGCATTATGGTTTTTACAGATCTCCATTAGATATCAGCATAACACAATAGGATGTGGTTGAGATGTTTTGCCTCAGTGGGGACAGTGGCCTTTGTGCTGGACTGGATCTGAGCCTTTCCCCTCCCCACACGTGAACTGTGTGTTTGAGTCCTGTCTCTTTCTCTCAGCCTTGGGGAATTATGTTAGTAGCCAGTAGTCTCCTGGTTCTTTTCCTTCCTCTCCCCTCCTTAGTAAAGATGTGCTCACTGCTCACTGAATATTGCTTTTCCAGGTGCTTGCTCATCTTGACTTTGCATTCTCAGCCTCCAATGGAATTGCCCCAAGTTTCCGGATGGAGGACAGCTGTTAGTAGGTTCTTCAAGTCCTCCTTGTTCTTGAAATCTGAATGCTTTTTGCTAACTATTTTTGCCTTGTTGATGTCCTCTTTCAGTAGCCCATGTCCCTGGAAGTTAATTTAAAATCATGACATATTACACCCTTACTAGTAATCAGAAAATCCTTCTATTTTCAATTAAATATTTCCCTTAATGATCCACCACTGTCCTCAAGTAGAGCCCTCTCTTTCCCCATTCCCCCTACAGTGTCCAGGGGTAATGACAGGTCCCAGGCCTGCAGTAGAGCTCTCTCTGTCCCCAGTCCCCCCACAGTGTTGTGGGGTAATGACAGGTCCCAGGCCTGCAGTGCAGCAGGTCCAAACCCAGCAGGTAGAATCATTAGTCTGGATAGCTCTGTCCAGAGCTGTTATCTCAGCTAGATTTACAGCATTGTTTCAAGGCTGTGAGAGACATCAGAATGCACTGTATCTAAAATATGTGATGTAAAGTTGTAGCCTACCGATTTGTGATATCTTACCTATTGGTACGGATGTTTTAGACCTAGTATGTTTTATATCTTCATGTATGAGAGGGAATTTGTGATTTCAGGGATGCCTGCCTTATGACTGGAGCCTGACTGACCGTTCTCTCTGTGTGGGAGGGTTTTAATCCTCATCCCAATCTATCAGTGGTCTATTCTCTCCTCTCTGGGTTAATCGTGCAGTGAGGACACCGATGAAAGGTTTTCTCATGTTTGACCTCTAACCTTTCCTCTAATCCCTCCCTTCCTGGTCTCTCTTCCCTTCCCTCAGCAACAGAAGGACTGTATGCGTCTGGACGAGACCATGCTGGTGAAACAGCTGCTGCCAGAGATCTGTCACTTCATCCACACGTACCGTGAGGGCCACCAGCATGCCGCCGAGTTACGTAGCTCCGCCTCCGGGGTCCTCTTCTCCCTCAGCTGCAACAACTTCAATGCCGTGTTCAGCCGCATCTCCACCAGGTGACATTAATCATAAACACCCATAACTCTCCCCTCAGCCCAACCTGCTCTGAGAAGCGACAGGCCACAGTAGTAGACCTCAGGCTGAACATAGAGGATGGGTTACCGTTAAGTGTACACCAGTTCAGGCCTTTGGGCTTCAGTGAGAGCGAGGAGGAAAAGAGAAGCTGGAGCTATTATCTACCTAAGATAGATAGAGGAAATAAATAGAGGGAGAAAGTCTCTGTCAGCAGCCTTCATAAAGAGTGTATTTGTCTGATGGAGTAATGTTCCACTGTGAGACCAAGCCCCAGAAGGACCTGGACATGCACAAGACATGGAAGCATACTCACATGCGTGTGTGTGTGCGCGGGCGTGTGTGTGTCAGAGCTGAGTGGTTTGGAGTGGGGAGAAAACATCTGCTGTTACCATTAACCACTAGGGTATATGAATTATTTGTTGAAGCTCAGAAAGCACATATTTTGTCTTCCTTCTCCTTGCACTGGTGTACTACTTGGTTCTGAGGCAGAAGAGAAGAGTGCTGCTCCACTCGTGTATCTATCGTTTCTGTGAGTCGCAGTCTGCACTTGTTAACCCAGCTGTGCTGTGGTCTTATTGGTCCATGACTGGCAGGCCCAGACTGATGAAGTGGCTGGTTATTAAATCATGAGGAGTTGGTTATGTGATGTTAAGCTGGAGAGAGAGAGTTGACCTTAACCACTCCCCAGTGTCGCCTCTCTCGCTTTCTTTCTCTCCTCAGCTTTTACCTTGAAAGCATTGCCCATTCATTCAAACTAGCCTATTTGATGTCAGTTCCACGCGATGGCCAATCACTATCTTATCCCTACTTTGCTACTTCACCCTTATTATTGGAAGTTCTAGTAGTCTAACCCTAACCCTTACTCACCAAACCACCTGATTTTAATTATTCAATTTCCCATTGTTTGGGTTTTAACTAAAGTTATTACCGGTAGTCAAATGAGACCTATGCTTACCATTTGATTAGTGTATGTAGGATGATGCTCCATTGCTACTTCTCTACAGTTTCGTAATGATGATGTGATTCTATTGAATGTGAATATTCGAGGAGATTAAAATAATAATCTTTATTAAATATCCATCTTTGCTGTGTTTCCCCTCAGGTTGCAGGAGCTCACCTTGTGTTCAGAGGACACAGTGGATGTCCATGACATTGAGCTCATACAGTACATTAATGTGGACTGTGCCAAGCTAAAGAAACTGCTCCAAGGTATTTGCGTATTCTTATCAGTCACATTGCTTTATTTAGGACTACAGCCGTCACATTTGTAGTTATCCATTTGATAGAGCTAAAGATGTTGTGCACCATTGTTGAGGTTCAGCGTGGACTCACTATTGGTTGTCATCTTCTCCTGCAGAGACGGTGTTTAAATTCAAAGCCCTCAAGAAGCCTGCCCAGCTAAGTGTCATCAACAGCTTAGAGAAGGTGAGTCGCTCTCTCTGTCTCTGTCTGTCTCACACATCTATCTACAGACTCACTGTCTCCACCTAGTGGTCTCTCGTCCTCTCATCTCCTGTAGCCCTGCTCCTCCTGCTCTAGTGCAGTGTCTGTTGACTTTCTGTGGAGCTGCTCAGGCATCTGGATACACTTCAGTGGAGTCAGGGCACTGGTGTTTACACTGACCGTCTGTGGCTCGCCAGAAGCCCCAGTCTTGAAGCTGGAGTGTGGCTCCACTGAGAGGATGTGTAAACACCTTAACAGTTTTATGAAGTTTTACATGTAAACTGTTTTTATCTCACCTAATCAGAGCTTGACATTAGTATCAGGATGGGAAACATCGTTGCAAGTTGGTGTGTTGTTGATAGTCTTCTTTGCGAGTTGAGGATAGGTACAGTGCTTCCCAGGCAGGTGATGTGACCCCCTTCTCTCCCCTCTCAGGCCTTCTGGAACTGGGTGGAGAACTACCCTGATGAGTTCACCATGCTATACCAGAGGCCACAGACAGACATGGCTGGTGAGAATGCAGTTACAGTTATAATGTTCCACTCAGTGATGAATCATATGTCTATGTGTTATTGACTGTGTTGTTGCTTGGTTGTGTCTCTCCCAGACTGTGCAGAGAAGCTGTTTGACCTGGTGGACAGTTTTGCTGAGAGTGCCAAGAGGAAGGCAGCCGTGTGGCCCCTGCAGATCATCCTCCTCATCCTCTGTCCTAACATCACACAGGACATCTCCAGAGAGACTGTAGAGGACACCAAGGTCAACAAGGTCAGACACAACACACACGCAGCACACACAGGGCGCACGGCGCACACACTAGGGTTCTAATCAACCATGTCTTACACTACTCATGTCTCACAGTAGACTACGCTTCTCTCATACAGTACTGTTACAGTACTCTTCTCTGTCCCTAACAGAAACTGTTCCTGGAGAACCTGCGGAAGGCCCTGGCCGGCCACGGGGGCAGTAAACAGCTGACTGAGAGTGCTGCCATCGCCTGTGTCAAACTTTGCAAGGCCTCCACCTACATCAACTGGGAGGACCACTCTGTCATCTTCCTCCTGGTGCAGTCCATCGTAGTGGACCTCAAGGTGAGTATCAGCCACAGATGGTCCTCTGATCATCAGTGTTATGGGACAGTATTATAAACGTAGTATCCAGTATTAGTCACCAGTGGTAACCAATTATAAACGTAGTATCCAGTGTTAGTCACCAGTGGTAACCAATTATAAACGTAGTATCCAGTATTAGTCACCAGTGGTAACCAATTATAAATGTAGTATCCAGTATTAGTCACCAGTGGTAACCAATTATAAACGTAGTATCCAGTATTAGTCACCAGTGGTAACCAATTATAAACGTAGTATCCAGTATTAGTCACCAGTGGTAACCAATTATAAACGTAGTATCCAGTATTAGTCACCAGTGGTAACCAATTATAAACGTAGTATCCAGTATTAGTCACCAGTGGTAACCAATTATAAACGTAGTATCCAGTATTAGTCACCAGTGGTAACCAAGTATAAACGTAGTATCCAGTATTAGTCACCAGTGGTACCATTAAACGTAGTATCCAGTATTAGTCACCAGTGGTAACCAATTATAACGTAGTATCCAGTATTAGTCACCAGTGGTAACCAATTATAAACGTAGTATCCAGTATTAGTCACCAGTGGTAACCAATTATAAACGTAGTATCCAGTATTAGTCACCAGTGGTAACCAATTATAAACGTAGTATCCAGTATTAGTCACCAGTGGTAACCAATTATAAACGTAGTATCCAGTATTAGTCACCAGTGGTAACCAATTATAAACGTAGTATCCAGTATTAGTCACCAGTGGTAACCAATTATAAACGTAGTATCCAGTATTAGTCACCAGTGGTAACCAATTATAAACGTAGTATCCAGTATTAGTCACCAGTGGTAACCAATTATAAACGTAGTATCCAGTATTAGTCACCAGTGGTAACCAATTATAAACGTAGTATCCAGTATTAGTCACCAGTGGTAACCAATTATAAACGTAGTATCCAGTATTAGTCACCAGTGGTAACCAATTATAAACGTAGTATCCAGTATTAGTCACCAGTGGTAACCAATTATAAACGTAGTATCCAGTATTAGTCACCAGTGGTAACCAATTATAAACGTAGTATCCAGTATTAGTCACCAGTGGTAACCAATTATAAACGTAGTATCCAGTATTAGTCACCAGTGGTAACCAGTCACAGCTGATGCTATGGACCTTGTTTCTCCCTTTTCCTGTCAGGCCCTGCTCTTCAACCCAGCCAAGCCTTTCTCCAGAGGGGCGGGAAGCCAGAACGCAGACGTGGACCTCATGATCGACTGCTTTGTCTCCTGTTTCCGCATCAATCCCCACAACAACCAACACTTTAAGGTATTTATTTGTATTCATTAAGGATCCCCATTAGCTGCTGCCAAGGCAGCAGCTACTCTTCCTGGGGTCCAGCAACATTAAGGCAGTTATATACAGTTTAAAATATTACATGACATTATATTTCATAACACTTTACCCAATATATTTAGTGTGGTCCCTCAGACCACTACTCCACTATCACATATTTACAATACAACATCCACGTGTACGTGTGTGTAGAGTGTGTGTCTTTTCATGTGTCTGTGCCACTCTGTTCCATAAGGTGTATTTTTTTTTTTCTGCTTGCTTCAGTTACCTGATGTGGAATAGAGTTCCATGTAGTCATGGCTCTATGTAGTATTGTGCGCCTCCCATAGTCTGTTCTGGACTTGGGGATTGTGAAGAGACCTTTGGTGGCATGTTTTGTGGTGTATGCATTGGTGTCTGAGCTGTGTGCTAGTAGTTTAAACAGACACCTCGTGCATTCAGCATGTCAACACTTCTTACAAAAACAAGTAGTGATTTAGTCAATCTCTCCTCCACAGCAAGGGGAGATTGACACGCATAATATTAATGTTATCTGTCCGTGTACATTTAAGGGCCAGCCGTGCTGCCCTGTTCTGAGCCAATTGTAATTTTCCGAAGTCCCTCTTTGTGGCACCTGACCAAACGACTGAACATTAGTCCAGGTGCGACAAAACTAGAGCCTGGAGGACCTGCCTTGTTGATAATGTTGTTAAAAAGACAGAGCAGCGCTTTATTATGGACAGACTTCTCCCCATCTTAACTACTGTTGTATCAACATGTTTTGACCATGACAGTTTAAAATCCAGGGTTACTCCAAGCAATTTAGTCACCTCAATTTCCTCATTATTCACTATGATCGATAATGTCAAAAGCCGCACTGAAGTCTAAAAGAACAGCTTCCACAATCTTTTTATCATACATTTCTGTCAGCCAATCAATCATCAGTCATTTGTGTAAGTGCCGTGCTTGTTGAATGTCCTTCCCAAAAGCGTGCTGAAAGTCTGTTGTCAATTTGTTTACAGTAAAATAGCATTGTATCTGGTCAAACACAATTTTTTCCAAATGTTTACTAAGGGTTGGTAACAGGCTAATTGGTCGGCTATTTGAGCCAGTAAAGGGGGCTTTACTATTCTTGGGTAGCGGAATTGCTTTTGCTTCCCTCCAGGCCTGAGGGCACACATTTTTTAGTAGGCTTAGATTGAAGATATGGCAAATAGGAGTGGCAATATCATCCGCTGTTATCCTCAGTAATTTTCCATCCAAGTTGTCAGACCCCGGTGGCTTGTCATTGTTGATAGACAATAATACTTTTTTCACTTCTTCCACACGCACTTTACGGAATTCAAAATTACAATGCGTGTCTTTCATAATTTGATCAGTTATACTTGGATGTGTAGTGTCAGCGTTTGTTGCTGGCATGTCATGCCTAAATTTGCTAATCTTGCCAATGAAATAATCATTAAAGTAATTGGTAATATCAGTGGGTTTTGTGATGAATGAGCAATCTGATTCAATTAATGATGGAGTTGAATTTTGGAGTATAGTTTTGCATAGAAATGGTTATGTTAATACACATGTGTTAACCACATACTGGTGTGTTGAAGTAAGGACTGTGTGATCTCTGGTTAACCTCTCTCTCTTTATTTTTCTCCCCCATTTCAGGTCTGCCTGGCGTCATCCTCTCCTCCCACCTTTCACTTCGTCCTGGTCAACTCCCTATACAGAATCATCACTAATGTAAGTGTGTGTTGTCATGGCCCAACATAGGGTTAAGGGATCAATCAACACACCCAATGCCAATGTCCATTGCCGCCATCCAAAGTAATAAAAGTGACCAATGCTGTGTGCACAGTGCATGTCTAGACTGACCAGTGGTAACCTTACCTGTGGTGACTGTGTAGATGATGTCACTACTGTACACACTGCGCTCTATTACACAGCCGTTAGATGGACTACCATCTCACTCTGGATGAGCCATGCGGGGAGAGGAGGTGCTGCAGACACACGTGTGTGTGTGTGTGTGTGTGTTTCAATAGGAAGTGCTTAAGGGCAGATTTCATACAGAGGCCCTTTTATTATCTCTCTATGTGTCTGAGAGACTGTGTGTGTGTGTGAGGGAGTGAGTGTATGACTGGTCTCTCTCTCGCCCCCCTCACTCAAAGCACTTCCTGTCTGAGCAGAAGTCAGAGGCTGCTTTTGTTCCTGTCTGTCTGTCTGTCTGTCTGTCTGTCTGTCTGGGTGTCTGGGTGGGTGGGTGGGTGGGTAACAGACAGAGTAGGAGAGGACAGCCGCCATCCTTCTCCCCACCAGGCAAACTCTCCACCCTAACAAATCCTACAGGGCTGAATGCCCCATGTCATTATCTGAATGAGTATAGACTGGGATAAATCAAATCTTATTTGCGGGTGTAGCGAAATGCTTGTGCTTCTAGCTCCGACAGTGCAGTAATATCAAACAAGTAACATCTAACAATTTCACAACATACCCAATACACACAAATCTAAGTAAGGAATGGAATTAAGAATATATACATATATGGACGAGCAATGACAGAGCGGCATGGTAGTTTGCCCCTGGTAATGCGTTCGGCAGACCGCACCACCCTCTGGAGAGCCCTGCGGTTGCGGGCGGTGCAGTTGCCATACCAGGCGGTGATACAGCCCGACAGGATGCTCTCAATTATGTATCTGTATAAGTTTGTGAGGGTTTTAGGTGCCAAGCCAAATTTCATCAGCCTCCTGAGGTTGAAGAGGCTCTGTTGTGCCTTCTTCACCACACTGTCTGCGTGGGTGGACCATTTCAGTTTGTCAATGATGTGTACGCCAAGGAACTTCGCTATTACTATTTGTCAGTGATGTGTACACCAAGGAACACCCACTATTACTATTCAACCTACAGGCCGGTGTATTATCCAAGTCTGTCTACAGGATTAAGTTTCTGTTTCAAATGTTTTATAATGAAGCCTAGTTATCCATGTACACAATTGTACAGTTTGTTTACAGGATTGAGTTTAACCCTCTGTCCATTCCTCTGTTGCAGTCTCCATTGGACTGGTGGCCTAAGATTGACGCGGTGTACTGCTACTCAGGAGAGCTGAGGATCATGTTTTCTGAGACGCTGGGCCACGTGATGAGGGGCTGCAGTACACACGCTCCCCTCCGCATGACTCCGGTAAGACACACACTATCCGTCTGTGGGCAGATACACACAACAAAACACACACACACAACAAAACACACACTCTTGGAAACAAAAACATACTCAACAAACCCAACATGTTATCGTGTGTGAGTCTGCATTATAGTTTTTTTTATGAATGGGCCATGCTGAGATTAGATGTTATTGAATGTCAGACTGCAGTGTGTTGTTTGACTGCGGAGAGCAGGAGCTTCACAGCAGCTACAAATATAAACGTATACATACAAACAACAACTTACAGACGCACAGAAATAACGACTACATCTCCTCTGCCCAGACGCGTATGCTCACACCCTCATCCCTAGTGCCTGCATTATTGTTTGCCACATGGCCTTAAATTGTACCAATTTGTTTTTCTCGGTCGACCTTGCTATTTCAATATTTGAATAATAAATCATTAGATTTTTCCATTGTGTTAATGATGGCAGATTTGATTGATTTCCACGTTTTTAGTATACGTTTTTTCAAGATGAGTGATGAGAAGAGAATCGTCCAGCCCATTGGGTATCTCACCACACGCTCATTTGCCATGTCATGAAATATGCAGACAGACGGATTAAAAGTAAGTTTACATTGTAATACTTCTGACAGCCAACTTTCTAGCTCCGTCCATAACTTTTGGACTTCATAGCATTCCCTGAAAGCATGTCATTATTAGTTTTACACTTAAGATATGACTCTGCTGTTGTGCTGTAGACATTCTGAGTTTTGTCTCTTGTATAATACATTCTATACATTTAGTTTATACTGGATTAAACATACATTTTCATTAACTGTAATTTCGTTGCTTATGCTCCCAATTTTCCCTCCATCTTGTGCGCCAACATCAGTTGGTTCCAATCTTGGTTCCAATATTTTTTTTTTTCTAAGAGGTTGTCAGTTGGATATGCTCTCTGCAAGGTTTTTTATATCTTCCCTATCAATTGAACAGCATTTTCTGACTCAAATAAGATTCCTTCAAGGTTGCTCATGATGTCGAAAAGATTTCAAATCGAAATGTTTTGATACACTACATGACCAAAAGTATGTGGGCACCTGCTTGTCGAACATCTCAGTCTAAAATCATGGGCATTAATATGGAGTTGGTCCCCACTTTGCTGCTATAACAGCCTCCACTCACTAGATGTTGGAACATTGCTGCGGGGACTTGCTTCCATTCAGACACAAGCATTAGTGAGGTCGGGCACTGATGTTGGGCGATTTGGCCTGGCTTGCAGTCAGCATTCCAATTAATCCCAAAGGTGTTCGATGGGGTTGAGGTTAGTGCTCTGTGCAGGCCAGTCAAGTTCTTCCACACCGATCTCGACAAACCATTTCTCTATGGACCTCACTTTGTGCACTGGGGCATTGTCATGCTGAAACAACTTTTGCCACAAAGTTGGAAGCACAGAATTGTCTAGAATGTCATTGTATGCTGTAGCGTTAAGATTTCCCTTTACTGGAGTTTGTGTGGCCTACCACTTCGCAGCTGAGCCGTTGTTGCTCCTAGATGTTTCCACTTCATAATAACAGCACTTACAGTTGACTGGGGCAGCTCTAGCAGGGCAGAAATTTGACGAACTGATTTGTTGGAAAGGTGGCATCCTATGACGGTTGAAAGTCACTGAGCTCTTCAGTACAGTCCAATATACTGCCAATGTTTGTCTATGGAGATTGCATGGCTGTGTTCTCGATTTTATACACCTGTCAGCAACGGGTGTGGCTGAAATAGCCGAATCCACTCATTTGAAAGGGTGTCCACATGCTTTTGGCCATATGTCGCAATTCCATGTCTGGAAGGTTAAAACCACCCTCAGACTTAGAAGATGTAAAACTTTCCTTTTTATTTTATGAATTTTATTTGCCCACATTCTCTTATGACCGAGTATACTTTTTTAAAGAATGTCTTCGGTGGGTTAGTTGGTATTACCGAAAATAAATACAAAATCTTGGGGAGCCATGCCATTCTAAAGATGTTTATTCTACCTGTAAGATTTGTGGGAAGATTATTCAATTTAATTAGATCTGCTTTCATATTGTTGAGTAATTAAATAACTTTATCTTTATATATTTGTTTGTCACTTATTAAGCATCCTAAGTATTTCATATTTTTTTGTGGTCCACTTTAAAGGATTGCTGTAGATCGTGAGGTATTATTTTTATTTTTGCTATTGACATTATTTCAGTTTTTTCCACGTTAATTTTATATCCTGAGATGTTTAGAGTATTCTGAAAATATTTTTAGCAAAGGGGGCATTGACTTTTCATTATTGGTCAAGTATATCAGGAGAATATCTGGAAATAAGTTTAGTTTATAGTCATGTTTACCAATACGTTTGGGTCCTGTCTAATTCTTTCTGCAAGCGGTTCAATTGCCAGTGCAAACAGGAGGAGGGAGAGAGGACATCCCTGTCTTGTGCCCCTTTCTAAAGCAATTTTATTAGATAATGTATTATTTGTGCATATTTTAGCTTTATGACATTTATACAATATGTTTTATTAAATGTTATTTCAGCTGGATAGTTGAAAGCTTCCAAAGTTTTGAATAGAAAATGCCATTCAAGATGATCGAAATCCTTTTCGGCATCAACAGCCATTGTTGATAAATCTACATCTAGTTTTTTTGCGTGTTGTATTAAACTGAAACATGTTCTTGTATTTGTTTGCAAGTGTGTAGTTCTTTTATAAACCCTGTTTGATTGAAATGTGACAAGTCTGGTAAGACTTTTCCCATTCTATTGCTTATAAGCTTTGTTATTATTTTATTGTCACAATTTATTAAACTTATGGGTATATAATCAGCAGGGGACTCTCGATTTTCCTGGTTTTAATATAACTGAAATAACTGTTTGATACATGGAACTAGGAAGTACTGAATTGAGTGACATGTGTGTTGTCATTTGTGTAAATAGGGGGGCTACTTTGTCCCAAAATGTTAAATAGAATTCTATGGGAAAGCCATCCATTCCTGGTGCTTTTTTCCATGCAAATGTTTTAACAGTATCTAATATTTATTATTGGGTGATCTCTGTTTTTAGTGATTATTTTTTGTCTGTTGATAATTGCTTCAGAGTTGTTGAGTCTAAGAAGGCTACAGGGTCCGTCCAACTGTTTAATTCTGATTTTATATACAGTACCAGTCAAAAGTTTGGACACACCTACTCATTCAAGGGTTTTTCTTTATTTTTACTATTGTCTACATTGTAGAATAATAGTGAAGACATCAAAACTATGAAATAACACATGGAATCATGTAGTAACCAAAACAGTGTTAAACAAATCAAAATGTATTTTATATTTGAGATTCTTCAAAGTAGCCACCCTTTGCCTTGATGACTGCTTTGCACACTTGGCATTCTCTCAACCAGCTTCATGAGGTAGTCACATGGAATGCATTTCAATTAACAGGTGTGCCTTGTTAAAAGTTAATTTGTGGAATTTCTTTCCTTCTTAATGCATTTGAGCCAATCAGTTGTGTTGTGACAAGGTAGGGGTGGTATACAGAAGATAGCCCTATTTAGTAAAAGACCAAGTCCATATTATAGCAAGAACAGCTCAAATAAGCAAAGAGAAACGACAGTCCATCATTACTTTAAGACATGAAGGTCAGTCAATCCGGAACATTTCAAAAACTTTGAAAGTTTCTTCAAGTGCAGTCGCAAAAACCATCAAGTGCTATGATGAAACTGGCTCTCATGACCACCACAGGAAAGGAAGAACCAGAGTTACCTCTGCTGCAGAGGATAAGTTCATTAGAGTTACCAGCCTCAGAAATTGCAGCCCAAATAAATGCTTCACAGAGTTCAAGTAACAGACACATCTCAACTTCTACTGTTCAGAAGAGTCTGTGAATCAGGCCGTCATTGTCGAATTGCTGCAAAGAAACCACTACTAAAGGACACCAATAAGAAGAAGAGACTTGCTTGGGACAAGAAACACGAGTAATGGACATTAGACCGGTGGAAATCTGTCCTTTGGTCTGATGAGTCCAAATTTGAGATTTTTGGTTCCAACCGCCGTGTCTATGTGAGACGCAGGGTAGGTGAACGGATGATCTCCGCATGTGTGGTTCCCACCGTGAAGCATGGAGGAGGAGGTGTGATGGTTTGGGGGTGCTTTGCTGGTGACACTGTCTGTGATTTATTTAGAATTCAAGGCACACTTTACCAGCATGGCTACCACAGCATTCTGCAGCGATATGCCATCCCATCTGGTTTAGGCTTAGTGGGACTATCATTTGTTTTTCAACAGGACAATGACCCAACACACCTCGAGGCTGTGTAAGGGCTATTTGACCAAGAAGGAGAGTGATGGAGGGATGAGTTGGACCGCAGAGTGAAGGAAAAGCAGCCAACAAGTGCTCAGCATATGTGGGAACTCCTTCAAGACTGTTGGAAAAGCATTCCTCATGAAGCTGGTTGAGAGAATGCCAAGAGTTTGCAAAGCTGTCATCAAGGCAAATGGTGGCTACTTTGAAAAATCTAAAATATATTTTGATTTGTTTAACACTTTTTTTGTTACTACATGATTCCATATGTGTTATTTCATAGTTTTGATGTCTTCACTATTATTCTACAATGTAGAAAATAGTACATTTAAAGAAAAACCCTTGAATGAGTAGGTATGTCCACATTTTTGACTGGTACTGTATATCTGATAACTCTCTTGATAACCATATTTGATAACCACTCACTTCCCTGTCATTTTGTATGAATGTGTGTGTCATCTCGCTCATATCTGTGTGTTTGGTCTACTCATCTCATGGAGGTGAAGGACGGCAGAGGGAACTCTCTGACATCATTGACTCGGTGGTGCTTCTTTGTCTTCTGCTTATTTTCTCTTTCATATTGCCCCGTTCTTTCCTTCTCCTTCTTCTTCATTTTCTTTGACCTGGCTGCTGCCGCCCACTCACTCAGATGCCAACCTGTCACAGTCACTGTTTTGCATGGCAGTGGGCGTCTGTCGCTGTAAGTATAACTGCCACCCCTACCACTCCCCACGTTTCCTCCTCCCGACTCCTCTGCAGCTGACCCCTGACCTCTAACCCTGACCTCACCCTCAGGCTACCACAGGTAAGAGAGAGCCCCTGTCGTCCTCCACCTCCTCTGTGCTCTGGTTGAAGTGAGTCTGCGTCTGACTCCTCCCTCCACTCCATCTCATCTGTATGCTAGGCTAGCTACTGGAGCATGCTTCTCAGCATGTTAGTGCTGAGCCATTTTAGTGCTTTTTGAGGTCGGTTCGGTTACAGTTATTAAAAAATAATCACGATTTTCGATTTCCATTAAAAAAAACAAATGCCAACATTAAATGCAATATGTGGAATGAATGCTGTAACAATACAGAATAAAACAATTAATAAAAGTCCAATGATGTTAGTGACCTATTACTGATTATTAACCATCATTTATTCACAATATTTTAATAAAATATTTCAGTTGTGTGTATTACATTTGTTTTATTTGATGACTTGATCATCTCATCTCTATAGAGCTGCTGCCTATGTTGTCTGACAAAATAACTATTTTAGTAGTTCTTCAAAGTAAATAAGGCATACTTTTATGACTGCTGAATACCAACGATCAATCACTTAGATCATGTATTTTCTGGTAGATAACTCGCGAAGCTACTGCTCTCTATCTCGCGCATTCTTCTGCCTCTTCTCTCTCTCAGTGTCTGCCCCACACAGTCCGCACAAACAGGCGCGCAATGGATTATGGTCATTGTAGTTAATTACTACGTTTTCTGCGCTAAACAATGTAGAATATTGGCCTGTTGGAAACTAAAACGCACACAGTTCGGGCTTGATCTGATTTATCTGTAGAGAAACTGCGCATTGAGCTCACAGAAAAAAACTAAGAAATGGAATTCAAATAATTGAACCGATGTAGGTCAATTAGTTGTTTAAAAAAAGAAGAATAACTGACATTTCAGTTAATTGCTCAGCGCTATAGTTGAGGCTGAGTCCTCCTCTTGCACACTCACAAAGTCTTTGGATTGTTCATCATCTTTATTTTAACTCCTAAATGGAGGATCTTAATATAATCACAGTGTTGATATGCCTTCAAACTAGGTTCTATGGATGGCTACTTGGTTGGGTTTTCATCACCTGTGAAGGGATGAGAGGCCTATAGATTGTGTTGGTGCATAGTTGAATATTTCCTTAAAACGCCACTAGAATTGGGTGCTATTTCCTCATCCATAATTCCTGTTTGCAGTGTCCTGGTGTTTGTGTGTGGGCCTGACTCCCTCATGGTGGCCAGCCCATGATGGTTTAGGCATGGCCCCTTAGGCTCCTGTCTGTTTGCCCACCTCCTGTTTCATGGCCCACCCATGAAGGGCACTTATGAAACAGTGTCTCTCTCTCTATCCTCCCCTGTTTGACCCCTGATTCCTTCTCTCCTGGTGGCTCTCCTGATCCCTGTGCGCTGGGTCTCTGTTGCTCGGAGGGTGGGAACTTGTTTGTCTGATTGCAGTAGAGATACTCTGCATCTGTTTCTCTCTCTCTCTCATCCTCGCTCATCTTAAATGAAAGATCCTGCTAATGGCCAGTCTCTACTGTTTGTTTCCTTCAGAGTCTGACCTTCAAGGAGAAGATGACCAGTCTGAAGTTCAAGGAGAAGACCACAGACCTGGACACGCGTAGCCACAAGTACCTGCTGCTGGCCCTGGTCAAGCTCATCCACGCTGACCCCAAACTCATGCTGCATGTTAGTGTTTACTCTGTTTATTTTAGGACTCCTGGACAGAAATAATGTGCGTTTTTCTGTTTGAGGATGGTCATGTAACACAGTAGTTATACTTATCCTTTAATTCTACATTTGTTGTGTTGGATTAAGGGATTATCATTGTTAATTCCACTTGCAGGGTTAGATTTAGACATATTAGCCAAGTGTTAGGTTATAGAGACTGATTATAAAGTCTTAGGGCTCGACACACCAATAGCGCTTGCAAGCCGGGAGTACTTGCAGACTGATTTGACATGTCAGATGTCAACGTTACGCTCAACGATCGGTAGACGATGGCACACATTCGGTGCGATGTGTGCCACCCTTTTAAGCTGGTTTGGGATTTGCAAAGACTTTTAGGCAGACTAGACCGGACTAGACACTCTTGGCATGTTTGTACATTGCTGTGTAGTCGTATACATGTTTTTTTTATTGTGTGTGTGTGTGTAAGAACCCGGGTAAGCAGGGTCAGGAGATCCAGAGCAGTACAGCAGAGCTGATCACCGGCCTGGTGCAACTGGTGCCTCTAGCCAACATGGGAGAGTGTTCACAGGAAGCAATGGAGGTGAGCCCCATCTCTCTTTCTATCTCACTCTCCCTTTTTCTCCATTATGGTTACATTTTGCCACAGTGGCTAATAGATACTCCTCCCGTTCTCTTCCTTTTCTAGGCCCTCTTGGTCCTGCATCAACCTGAGACCATAGAATTGTGGAACCCAGATGCTCCCATTGAGACCTTTTGGGACATCAGGTAGACTAAGCCCTCCTTTTTATCTACCTTGTTTTATAGATGTTGTCCTACCTTAGATGCCAGGTGAAATTGAGTGTTCATTGATGCTGATTGGTTAGCACAGATGGAGAACACCAGCTTGACTGTGATTGGCTGTTGTACCCTACAGTTCCCAGGTCCTCTTCTTCATCTGTAAGAAGCTGGTTGGCCACCAGATGATCAACAGTACAGAGATCCTCAAGTGGCTGAGGGAGATCCTCATCTGCAGGAACAAGTTCCTCCTCAGGAACAAGGTGAGCCACATCATTGTGGGTTTTGTAGTCCTTATACCTGTGGGGCTCATCCAGGAGGGCACAAGGTTATAGAATGTTCAAAAATATATTTAGGTCTATTTATTTGTCTTGTTGAGTAAAGCCAAAAGGTAGCTCTATGCATGACATTTTATATATCTATAACATTCAGAACCCCCTCCTGAACGTGACCGTGGTTTCACTAATCTCCTTTGTTCTAACCCCTCTGTCCTGTCTTCCTCCCCCAGGAGCAGGCCACGGTGGGCAGTGGCATCCCCATCTGCAGACAGGCCCAGACCAAGCTGGAGGTGTGTCTCTACATGTTCCTGTGGAGCCCTGACATGGAGGCCGTTCTGGTGGCCATGTCCTGCTTCCGACACCTCTGTGAGGAGGCTGAGGTCCGCTGTGGAGTGGATGAGGTCCCGGTGCAGACCATCCTACCCAACTACAACACCTTCATTGAGTTTGCCTCCGTCAGCAACATGATGTCCACAGGTTAGTAGTGAATGAACGTGCTAATGATCTATGACCTCGAGATGACGGTGCTGTATCTTATGGACAGAGTACCACCTCTAGAGGGCAGTCACAGCTTGAGAGCTCAGCAGGTGATGAAGTCGGGGCTGTCTGAGAGGCCAAGGCTCCTGTCATGGTGTGTTTGTGTGTTTTCAGGCCGCTCAGCCCTGCAGAAGAGAGTGATGGCTCTGTTGAGGAGGATAGAACACCCTACTGCAGGAAACACAGAGGTGAGCGAGTGGCCTGCTGCTGTGCTTCTAGTCATACCCTGATGGTTCAATATGGAAGTATGTTTGTGAAGCACGATATTCACATCAACTCAATATTTGTTTTATAATGTTCCCCACAGGCATGGGAAGACACGCATGCAAAATGGGAGCAGGCGACCAAATTAATCCTCACCCATCCCAAAACTAAGCTAGAGGATGGCCAGGTAAGCAGACATCCATTAGCTTGTTCTTATGCATTCTTGTTACGCACATCAAAATACACTTGTCCCTCTGTTGCTCCTCTCTGTGTCTGTGTCCAGGAGTGGATCAACATGACGGGCTTCCTGTGTGCTCTGGGAGGTGTGTGTCTGCAACAGCGCAGTGTCCCAGGCCTGGCCACCTACAGCCCACCCATGGGGCCTCTCAGTGAGAGGAAGGGCTCCATGATCTCCATGGGCTCTTGTGAGGGGAACACGGAGACGCCCCTGGGCCGCTTCCTGGACCGCCTACTGTCCCTCATGGTGTGCAGCCATGAGAAGGGTGTTCAGATCCGGACCAATGTTAAGGATCTGGTGGGCCTGGAGCTCAGCCCGGCTCTCTACCCCATGCTCTTCAACAAACTCAAGAACAGCATCAGTCGCTTCTTCGACGCACAGGGGCCGGTGAGAGGAACACACACACACACACATACAGTGAAAAGGGTTGTACCTGTTAATCCAAAGACACTGAAGGAATAGAGGTAAGAGCCCCTTTCTTAGCCTGTGTGGTAAAATATATTATTCTTTGTATCTGTTTAGGTTCCCATCAATGACACTAACACCCAGTTTGTGGAGCAGACCATCGCCATCATGAAGAACCTACTGGACAACCACACTGAGGGCAGCTCAGAGCACCTGGGACAGGCCAGCATAGAGACCATGATGCTCAACCTGGTCAGGTAAATGTCTCAGCTTCTCTCCTCCTGTCCTCTCCTCCATGGCATGCCGACCCTGGACTATGAGCTGGTGAGCTGCTGTGAGCCCACTGCCCACTCTCATTCTCCCCATGCCCTGTGTTGTGTTGGCAGGTACGTGCGTATCCTGGGCAACATGGTGCATGCCATCCAGATGAAGACCAAGCTGTGCCAGCTGGTGGAGGTGATGATGGAGAGACGAGACGAGCTGTCCTTCTGCCAGGAGATGAAGTTCAGGTGAGAGATCGAGACGACCTGTCCATCTGCCAGGAGATAAAGTTCAGGTGAGAGATCGAGACGACCTGTCCATCTGCCAGGAGACAAAGTTCAGGTGAGAGATCGAGACGACCTGTTCTTCTGCCAGGAGATGAAGTTCAGGTGAGAATGTCCTCCTTGAGTCTAGACTGTCAGTCAAACATGTACTGTCCAGGTTTACTGCTACATATCGACTGATACGGAGTAATACAAAGACCATGTCATTGAGTTTACACACAGTAAATGAATGTCATTTGTCGCTGACAGGAATAAGATGGTGGAGTACCTGACAGACTGGGTGATGGGCACCTCAAACCAGGCGGCTGATGATGACGTCAAGTGTCTTACCAGGTACTGTACTACTACCCCCTGCTTGGATTGTACCCCCCCCCCCACATCATCACAGAGCTGATATGACCTTGACCTCTTACATTTGTGTTTTAAGATGGCACTGGGATGTATAGCCACTGTTTTACGGGCTCCTGACCAATACTGCTATTTTGTGTGTTTTTTTTTTTTAACTTTTTTTTCTACATAATGTTTCCGCCATCGCTTCTTATGACCGAAAATAGCTTCTGGACATCAGAACAGCAATCACTCACCTCGATCTGGACAAAGACTTCTACTTCAATGAGTGCACAGGACATACTGCTCACCTCGGACCAGGCCCTAATCCCCGACACTCGGAAGAGGAAAAAACGTTGCTATAGAGGACACCGTGCGGGCACATTGATGAGACTACGTTGACGAGTGACTAAACCGCCCCTACCCTCTGTTCTATTTGCGAATGTGCAATCGCTGGAGAACAAACTGGACAAGCTCCGTTCGAGACTATCCTATCAACGGGACATTGTGAACTGTAATATACTATGCTTTTCAGAGTCATGGCTGAACAAGGACATATATGCAGTTAGCTGGGTTTTTCATGCATCGGCAGGACAGAACAGCAGCGTCCGGTAAGATCCGTGGGAGTAGGGTGTCTCTTTGTCAACAAAGACAGGTGCGCAGTCTCTAATATAAGGAAGTCTCAAGGTTCTGCTCGCCTGAGTTAGAATACGTCGTGATAAGCTGTAGACCATACTATTTACCAAGGGTTTTCATCTATATTTTTCTTAGCTGTCTATTTACCACCACAAACTGATGCTGGCACTAAGACCCCACTCAACGAGCTGTATAGGGCCATAAGCCAACAAGAAAATGCTCATCCAGAGGCAGCGCTCCTAGTGGCCGGTGATTTTAATGCAGGAAAACTGAAATCCGTTTTACTAATTTCTACCAACATGTCACCTGTAAAACTAGAGAAAAAAAACTCTAGATCACCTTTACACCACACACAGTGATGCATACAACACTCTCTCTAGCCCTCCATTTGTTAAATCTGACCATAACTCTATCCTCCTGATTCCTGCTTACAAGCAAAAACTCAAACAGGAAGCACCAGTGACGCTCTCAATGCGGAAGTGGTCCGATGAAGTGCATTGATGACGTCGTCCTCACAGTGACTGTACGTACATATCCCAACAAGAAGCCATGAATTACAGGCAACAATCCGGACGCTTATAAGAAATCCTGCTACGCCCTGCGACGAACCATCAAACAGGCAAAGCATCAATACTGGACTAAGATCGAATCCTACTACACCGGCTCTGACGCTCGTCGGATGTGGCAGGGCTTGCAAACTAGCCCGGAATACAAAGGGAAACCCAGCCGAGAGCTGCCCAGTAACGCGAGCCTACCAGACGAGCTAAATGCCTTTTATGCTCGCTTCGAGGCAAGCAACACTGAACCATGCACTGAACCCAACAGCACCAGCTGTTCTGGATGACTGTGTGATCACGCTGTCCGTAGCCAATGTGAGTAAGACTTTTAAACGCGTTAGCATTCAGACGGATTACCAGGAAGCGTACTCAGAGCATGCGCTGACCAGCTGGCAAGTGTCTTCACTGACTTTTTCAACGTCTCACTGACCCAGTCTGTAATACCTACATGTTTCAAGCAGAACACCATAGTCCCTGTGTCCAAGAACGCCAAGGTAACCTGTCTAAAAGACTACCGCCCTGTAGCACTCACATCTGTAGCCATGAAATGCTTTGAAAGGCTCACATCAACACCATCATCCCAGAAACCCTGGACACACTCCAATTTGCATACCGCCCAAACAGATCCACAGATGAAGCAGTCTCTATTGCACTCCACACTGCCCTGTCCCACCTGGACAAAAGGAACACCTACATCCGACCACAAGGTACTACAGAGGGTAATGCGTAATGCCCAGTACATCACTGGTGTCGAACTCCAAGCCATAAGTTAACCAAATAGCTACCTGGACTATCTGCATTGACCCTTTTTGCACTAACTCTTTTTGACTCTATGCGCACACACACTGGACTCTACCCACACACTTGCACATACTGACACTCCAACACACACACTCACTCACACATAACACGTACACACAGGCAAACATTTGCCACACACACACTTTCACACTCCCACACACGCGGCTGCTACTGTCTATTATCTATCCTGTTGCCTAGTCACTTTACCCCTACCTATACAGTATGTACATATCTACCTCAATTTCCTAGTACCCCTGCACATTTACTCGGTACTGGTACCCCATGTTTAAATAGCCAAGCTATCATTGCTCTTTGTATTTATTCCTCGTGTTAATAAATATATATATATATACAGAAGAAGTCGGAAGTTTACATACACCTTAGCCAAATACATTTAAACTCAGTTTTTCACAATTCCTGACATTTAATCCTAGTAAAAATTATGTGTCTTAGGTCAGTTAGGATCACCACTTCATTTTAAGAATGTGAAATGTCAGAATAATAGTAGAGAGAGTGATTTATTTCAGCTTTTATTTCTTTCATCACATTCCCAGTGGGTCAGAAGTTTACATACAATCAATTAGTATTTGGTAGCATTGCCTTTAAATTGTTTAACTTGGGTCAAACGTTTCGGGTAGCCTTCCACAAGCTTCCCACAATAAGTTGGGTGAATTTTGGCCCATTCCTCCTGACAGAGCTGGTGTAACTGAGTCAGGTTAGTAGGCCACCTTGCTCGCACACACTTTTTCAGTTCTGCCCACAAATGTTTTATAGGATTGAGGTCAGGGCTTTGTGATGGCCACTCCAATAGCTTGACTTTGTTGTCCTTAAGCCATTTTGCCACAACTTTGGAAGTATGCTTGGGGTCATTGTCCATTTGGAAGACCCATTTGCGACCAAGCTTTAACTTCCTGACTGATGTCTTGAGATGTTGCTTCAATATCCACATAATTTTCCTTCCACATGATGCCATCTATTTTGTGAAGTGCACCAGTCCCTCATACAGCAAAGCACCCCCACATCATGATGCTGCCACCCCCGTGCTTCACGGTTGAGATGGTGTTCTTCGGCTTGCAAGCGCCCCCTTTTTCCTCCAGACATAACGATGGTCATTATGGCCAAACAGTTCTATTTTTGTTTCATCAGACCAGAGGACATTTCTCCAAAAAGTACAATCTTTGTCCCCATGTGCAGTTGCAAACCGTAGTCTGGCTTGTTTATGGCGGTTTTGAAGCAGTGGCTTCTTCCTTGCTGAGCGGCCTTTCAGGTTATGTCGATATAAGACTAGTTTTACTGTGGATATAGATATTTTTGTACCTGTTTCCTACAGCATCTTCACAAGGTCCTTTGCTGTTGTTCTGGGATTGAGTTGCACTTTTCGCACCAAAGTGCGTTCATCTCTAGGAGACAGAACGTGTCTCCTTCCTGAGCGGTATGATGGCTGCGTGGTCCCATGGTGTTTATACTTGCGTACTATTGTTTGTACAGATGAACGTGGTACCTTCAGGCGTTTGGAAATTGCTCCCAAGGATGAACCAGACTTGTGGAGGTCTACAATATTTTTTCTGAGGTCTTGGCTGATTTCTTTTGATTTTCCCATGATGTCAAGCAAAGAGGCACTGAGTTTGAAGGTAGGCCTTGAAATACCTCCACAGGTACACCTCCAATTGACTCAAATGATGTCAATTAGCCTATCAGAAGCTTCTAAAGGCATGACATCATTATCTGGAATTTTCCAAGCTGTTTAAAGGCACAGTCAACTTAGTGTATGTAAACTTCTGACCCACTGGAATTGTGATACAGTGAATTATAAGTGAAATAATCTGTCTGTAAACAATTGTTGGAAAAATTACTTGTCATGCACAAAGTAGATGTCCTAACCCACTTGCCAAAACTAAGAAATTTGTGGAGTGGTTGAAAAACGAGTTTTAATGTTTTAATGACTCTAACCTAAGTGTATGTAAACTTCCGACTTCAACTGTGTGTATATGTGTATATATATATACAGCTGTGGAAAAAATTAAGAGACCACTGCAAATGTTTCTTAAATCAGCATCTCTACATGTATGACAGCCATTCCATTCCAGTGTCTGTTGAATTCCAACACAGGCACACCTCATTCTAATGAATTAGGTACTGATTAGGTGATCACCGGAACCAAATCTTATTTAACGAGGAAAAGTATAAAAACCACTGCTGTGGTCATCACTATCATCTTGCAATAGGACCAGCTGGATGGCAAAAACAGTGCTAATAGTACCTCAAAAGTAATATTAATCAAAAAATAACTATTGAGTTGAAAAGGAAAGTTTTGAGTGAGGAAAAGAAGGGTTCAATTCTGGCTTTGCTGGCAGAGGGATAGAGTGAGCGTCAGGTTGCTTCCATCCTTAACATTTCAAAGATGGCGGTTCATAAGAACAAGGTCAAGCAGCAGACATTGGGGACAACAAAGCTACAGACCGGCAGAGGGCGAAAACGACTCTCTACAGACCGGGATGACCGCCAACTAATTCGAATGTCACTCAACAACCGTAGGATGACATCAAGTGACCTACAAAAAGAATGGCAAACGGCAGCTGGGAAGAAGTGCACGGCGAGGACGGTTTGAAACAGGCTCCTAGGGGCAGGGCTGAAGTTGTGCAAAGCTAGAAAAAAGCCCTTCATCAATGATAAGCAAAGAAGAGCCAGGCTGAGGTTTGCACAAGACCATAAGGATTGGACCGTAGAGGACTGGAGTAAGGTCATCTTCTCTGATGAGTCCAATTTTCAGCTTTGCCCAACACCTGGTCGTCTAATGGTTAGACCTGGAGAGACCTGGAGACGTGGAGAGGCCTACAAGCCACAGTGTTTCGCACCCACTGTGAAATTTTGTGGAGGATCGGTGATGATCTGGTGGTGCTTCAGCAAGGCTGGAATCGGGCAGATTTGTCTTTGTGAAGGACGCATGAATCAAGCCACGTACAAGGTTGTCCTGGAAGGAAAGTTGCTTCCTTTTGCTCTGACATTGTTCCCCAACTCTGAGGATTGGTTTTTCCAGCAGGACAATGTGCCATGCCACACAGCCAGGTCAATCAAGGTGTGGATGGAGGACCACCAGATCAAGACCCTGTCATGGCCAGCCCAATCTCTAGACCTGAACCCCATTGAAAACTTCTGGAATGTGATCAAGAGGAAGATGGATGGTCACAAGCCATCAAACAAAGCCGAGCTGCTTGAATCTTTGCGCCAGGGGTGGCATAAAGTCACCCAACATCAATGTGAAAGACTGGTGGAGAGCATACCAAGATGCATGAAAGCTGTGATTGAAAATCAGGGTTATTCCACCAAATATTGATTTCTGAACTCTTCCTAAGTTAAAACATTAGTATTGTGTTGTTTAAATATGAACATGAACTTATTTTCTTTGCATTATTCGAGGTCTGACAACACTGCATATTTTTTGTTATTTTGACCAGTTGTCATTTTCTACAAATAAATGCTCTAAATGACCATATTTTTGGGGGGAATTTGGGAGAAATGTTGTCAGTAGTTTATAGAATAAAACAAAAATGTTTTTTTTTAACCAAACACATACCTATAAATAGTAAAACCAGAGAAACTGATAATTTTGCAGTGGTCTCTTAATTTTTTCCAGAGCTGTATATACAGTCGTGGTCAAACGTTTTGAGAATGACACAAATATTAATTTTAATAAAGTCTGCTGCCTCAGTTTTTATGATGGCAATATGCATATACTCCAGAATGTTATGAAGAGTGATCAGATGAATTGCAAAGTCCCTCTTTGCTATGAAAATTAACTTAATCCCCAAAAAACATTTCCACTGCATTTCAGCCCTACCACAAAAGGACCAGCTGACATCATGTCAGTGATTCTCTCGTTAACACAGGTGAGAGTGTTGACGAGGACAAGGCTGGAGATCACTCTGTCATGCTGATTGAGCTAGAATAACAGACTGGAAGCTTAAAAGGAGGGTGGTGCTTGAAATCATTGTTCTTCCTCTGTTAACCATGGTTACCTGCAAGGAAACACATGCCGTCATCATTGCTTTGCACAAAAAGGGCTTCACAGGCAAGGATATTGCTGCTAGTAAGATTGCACCTAAATCAACCATTTATCGGATCATCAAGAACTTCAAGGAGAGAGGTTCAATTGTTGTGAAGAAGGTGTCAGGGTGCCCAAGAAAGTCCAGCAAGCGCCAGGACCGTCTCCTAAAAGTTTATTCAGCTGCGGGATCGGGGCACCACCAGTGCAGAGCTTGCTCAGGAATGGCAGCAGGCAGGTGTGAGTGCATCTGCACGCATAGTGAGGCGAAGACATTTGGAGGATGGCCTGGTGTCAAGAAGGGCAGCTCTGATGAATCCCCTTTCCGATTGTTTGGGGCATCCGGAAAAAAGCTTGTCCGGAGAAGACAAGGTGAGCGCTACCATCAGTCCTGTGTCATGCCAACAGTAAAGCATCCTGAGACCATTCATGTGTGGGGTTGCTTCTCAGCCAAGGGAGTTGGCTCACTCACAATTTTGCCTAAGAACACAGCCATGAATAAAAAATGGTTACCAACCTCAGAGAGCAACTTCTCCCAACCATCCAAGAACAGTTTGGTGACGAACAATGCCTTTTCCAGCATGATGGAGCACCTTGCCATAAGGCAAAAGTGATAACTAAGTGGCTCGGGGAACAAAACATCGACATTTTGGGTCCATGGCCAGGAAATTCCCCAGACCTTAATCCCATTGAGAATTTGTGGTCAATCCTCAAGAGGCGGGTGGACAAACAAAACCCCACAAATTCTGACTAACTCCATGCATTGATTATGCAAGAATGGGCTGCCATCAGTCAGGATGTGGCCCAGAAGTTAATTGACAGCATGCCAGGGTGGATTGCAGAGGTCTTGAAAAAGAAGGGTCAACACTGCAAATATTGACTCTTTGCATAAACATAATGTAATTGTCAATAAAAACCTTTGACACTTATGGAATGCTTGTAATTATACTTCAGTATACCATAGTAACATCTGACAAAAATATCTAAAAACACTGGAGCAGCAAACTTTGTGAATACCAATACTTGTGTCATTCTCAAAACTTTTGACCACGTGTGTGTGTGTATGTATATATGTATGTACAGTGGGGGAATAAAATATTTAGTTAGCCACCAATTGTGCAAGTTCTCCCACTTTAAAAGATGAGAGAGGCCTGTAATTTTCATCATAGGTACACGTCAACTATGACAGACAAATTGAGAAAACAAAATCCAGAAAATCACATTGTAGGATTTTTAATGAATGTATTTGCAAATTATGGTGGAAAATAAGTATTTGGTCACCTACAAACAAGCAAGATTTCTGTCTCTCTCAGACCTGTAACTTCTTCTTTAAGAGGCTCCTCTGTCCTCCACTCGTTACCTGTATTAATGGCACCTGTTTGAACTTCTTTATAACTATCAGTATAAAAGACACCTGTCCACAACCTCAAACAGTCACACTCCAAACTCCACTATGGCCAAGACCAAAGAGCTGTCAAAGGACACCAGAAACAAAATTGTAGACCTGCACCAGGCTGGGAAGACTGAATCTGCAATAGGTAAGCAGCTTGGTTTGAAGAAATCAACTGTGGGAGCAATTATTAGGAAATGGAAGACATACAAGACCACTGATAATCTCCCTCGATCTGGGGCTCCACGCAAGATCTCACCCCATGGGGTCAAAATGATCACAAGAACGGTGAGCAAAAATCCCAGAACCACACGGGGGGACCTAGTGAATGACCTGCAGAGAGCTGGGACCAAAGTAACAAAGCCTACCATCAGTAACACACTACGCCGCCAGGGACTCAAATCGTGCAGTGCCAGACGTGTCCCCCTGCTTAAGCCAGTACATGTCCAGGCCCGTCTGAAGTTTGCTAGAGTGCATTTGGATGATCCAGAAGAATATTGGGAGAATGTCATATGGTCAGATGAAACCAAAATTGAACTTTTTGGTAAAAACTCAACTCGTCGTGTTTGGAGGACAAAGAATGCTGAGTTGCATCCAAAGAACACCATACCTACTGTGAAGCATGGGGTGGAAACATCATGCTTTGGGGCTGTTTTTCTACAAAGGGACCAGGACGACTGATCCGTGTAAAGGAAAGAATGAATGGGGCCATGTATCGTGAGATTTTGAGTGAAAACCTCCTTCCACCAGCAAGGGCATTGAAGATGAAACGTGGCTGGGTCTTTCAGCATGACCCCAATGATCCCAAACACACCGCCCGAGCAACGAAGGAGTGGCTTCGTAAGAAGCATTTCAAGGTCCTGGAGTGGCCTAGCCAGTCTCCAGATCTCAACCCCATAGAAAATCTTTGGAGGGAGTTGAAAGTCCGTGTTGCCCAGCGACAGCCCCAAAACATCACTGCTCTAGAGGAGATCTGCATGGAGGAATGGGCCAAAATATCAGCAACAGTGTGTGAAAACCTTGTGAAGACTTACAGAAAACGTTTGACCTGTGTCATTGCCAACAAAGGGTATATAACAAAGTATTGAGAAACTTTTGTTATTGACCAAATACTTATTTTCCACCATAATTTGCAAATAAATTCATTAAAAATCCTATAATGTCATTTTCTGGATTTTTTTTTCTCATTTTGTCTGTCATAGTTGACGTGTACCTATGATGAAAATTACAGGCCTCTCTCATCTTTTTAAGTGGGAGAACTTGCACAATTGGTGGCTGACTAAATACTTTTTTCCCCCACTATATGTGTGTCTTTATATGTTTTGTTTTTTTTATCTGCTTTGTTGGGAAGTAAGCATTTCACTGTTAGTCTACACCTGTTGTTTACGAAGCATGTGAAATTAAAATGTGATTTGATGTGACCTCTGTGACCTCTAACCCCTGACCTATGCTTTGTGCTGTGTGATATACAGGGACCTGGACCAGGCCAGTATGGAGGCGGTGGTGTCTCTGCTAGCTGGCCTGCCCCTCCAGCCTGAGGAGGGAGACGGAGTGGAACTGATGGAGGCCAAGTCCCAGCTCTTCCTCAAGTACGCCAGCTATCCTCTCTTTACTCACTATACTATTGCAGTTCATTAGTTATGCAATGTGGCTTACATCATAATAATACCAAAAGATAAAGAGTAGAGTATCTTTCTCCTCCTCCTCCCAGGTACTTCACCCTGTTCATGAACCTGCTGAATGACTGCAGTGAGGTAGAGGATGATGGGCAGCAGGTGGCAGGGAGGAAGAGGGGCATGTCTCGACGCCTGGCCTCTCTCAGACACTGCACCGTCCTGGCCATGTCCAACCTCCTCAACGCCAACGTGGACAGTGGCCTCATGCACTCCATCGGTCAGTCTGGAAACCTAACATAGGAACTTATCGGGAATGAGGCTTAGGCTCACTCTTTGGTTGGCTTCTTCATGTTTAAAGTGCCCAACATGCGAAATAAGATTAATAGTGGAAGTGGCTTTAATTGGATCTCTGTTGATTACATCTAATTCATCATTAGTGTAGGATCGTTAAAACAATACTTGCCCATGGTCAATGTTCTTCCCTCTTGTCCCACTTAGAGAGAAATGTATGATAATCTTACCTATCTCCCGCTTTCTCTGTGTGTAGGTCTGGGCTACCATAAGGACCTGCAGACGCGGGCCACCTTCATGGAGGTGCTGACTAAGATCCTGCAGCAGGGGACAGAGTTTGACACACTGGCAGAGACAGTGCTGGCTGACCGGTTTGAAAGGCTGGTAGAGCTGGTCACCATGATGGGAGACCAGGGAGAGCTGCCTATTGCCATGGCACTGGCCAATGTAGTGCCCTGCTCCCAGTGGGTATGTAGCCTATTCACCACCCCCTGTCCTTTCTCTGTGACGTGACATCTTGACATTTATATTAGATCTGGGGGTGTAAATGGAGTAACATTTTAAAGCAAATAGTGTTCATACTGTTTTAGCTTATATTACACCACTGTACCACGCTATATGAATATGAATGAATGTGTCAGTGTTGTGTTAGTGATGTGTAGATTGTAGGTGTCCGAGTGTGAGCTGTGTCAGTAACAATGTGACCTCTGTTAGTAACAGTTATTTTTTTCCCTCCTGTCCCCTGTCAGGATGAGCTGGCACGGGTTCTGGTGACTCTGTTTGACTCGCGCCACCTCCTCTACCAGTTGCTGTGGAACATGTTCTCCAAGGAGGTGGAGCTTGCTGACTCCATGCAGACACTTTTCAGAGGAAACAGTCTGGCCAGTAAAATCATGACCTTCTGCTTTAAGGTACACAACATGACAGGCTGGGTGCCCAGTCTTGTCCTGCTCAACCCAGGCATGAAAATGTGGTCAAGCTATTTTACAGCTATGCAAAATACCCCTGCTATCTGACAAAGGTCATGACACACTATGTGGTTTTTGGCTTTCAAATAAGCATGGTGCCTGCTTTCTAAAATGTTAGTTTCGAGTTTCACAATGTGTTTGTGTATCCACCCCTCTTTCTGCTGTGTTTCAGGTGTATGGGGCCACGTACCTCCAGAAGCTTCTAGAGCCTCTTCTCAGAGGGGTCATCACCGCCCCAGAGTGGCAGCTCATCAGCTTCGAGGTGGACCCCACCAGGTACCCCACCCCCTGACCCCACAGACACCACACCAACACATTCACTCATTCACCCACTTTGTTTTCCAGCTGTACTATTTAAACCAAGGCAGCCCCCTCCCTACCATCTTAGATTATTTATTTGTATTTATTTTTGCAACATGGAAGAAGAGTTGTATGCTCCCTGACCTGTTGCATTGTCCAATGCTCTCTTGTCGTCTCTGGTTTTGGCTGGTTCTGTGTCTCCGGCTGCAGGCTCGAGCAGAGTGAGATCCTGGAGGAGAACCAGAGGAACCTGCTGCAGATCACCAACCGCTTCTTTCTGGCCATCATCAACTCATCCACAGAATTCCCCCCTCAGCTGCGCAGTGTCTGTCACTGCCTGTTCCAGGTACATATGAGGCTGCACACCTCAACTGCCAACTCCAACCCACTCCACAGGCTGTAAACCCCCATCTTAACGGACAGGGTTCCATTTATTTGAGGATTTAAACTTTTTCTGCAATGGCCACCATTATGTTTTCACAATGTTTTCAGGGTGGTTATTTTGAACAAGGTAAATGTACAGTACCAGTCAAAAGTTTGGACACACCTACTCATTCCAGGGTTTGTCTTTATTTTTACTATTTTCTACATTGTAGAATAATAGTGAAGACATCAAAACTATGAAATAACACATATGGAATCATGTAGTAACCAAAAGAGTGTTAAACAAATCAAAATATATTTTATATTTGAGATTCTTCAAAGTAGCCACCCTTTGCCTTGATGACAGCTTTGCACACTCTTGGCATTCTCTCAACCAGCTTCATGAGGTAGTCACCTGGAATGCATTTTAATTAACAGGTGTGCCTTGTTAAAAGTTAATTTGTGGAATTTCTTTCCTTAATGCATTTGAGCCAATCAGTTGTGTTGTGACAAGGTAGGGGGGGTATACAGAAGATAGCCCTATTTGGTAAAAGACCAAGTCCATATTATGTCAATAACCGCTCAAATAAGCAAAGCGAAATGACAGTCCATCATTACTTTAAGACATGAAGGTCAGTCACTCCGGAAAATTTCAAGAACTTTGAAAGTTTCTTCAAGTGCAGTCGCAAAAACCATCAAGCACTATGATGAAACTGGCTCTCATGAAGACCGCCACAGGAAAGGAAGACCCAGAGTTACCTCTGCTGCAGAGGATAAGTTAATTAGAGTTAACTGCACCTCAGATTGCAGCCCAAATAAATGCTTCACAGAGTTCAAGTAACAGACACATCTCAACATCAACTGTTCAGAGGAGACGGTGTGAATCAGGCCTTCATGGTCGAATTGCTGCAAAGAAACCACTACTAAAGGCCACCAATAATAAGAAGAGACTTGCTTGGACCAAGAAATACGAGCAATGGACATTGGACCGGTGGAAATCTGTCCTTTGGTCTGATGAGTCCAAATTTGAGATCTTTGGTTCCAACCGCTGTGTCTTTGTGAGACGCAGAGTAGGTGAACGGATGATATCTGCATGTGTATTTCACACCGTAAAGCATGGAGGAGGAGGTTTTATGGTGTGGGGGTGCTTGGCTGGTGACACTGTCAGTGATTTATTTAGAATTCAAGGCACACTTAACCAGCATGGCTACCACAGCATTCTGCAGCGATACGCCATCCCATCTGATTTGCGCTTAGTGGGACTATCATTTGTTTTTCAACAGGACAATGACCCAAAACATATCTCCAGGCTGTGTAAGGGCTATTTGACCAAAGAGAGTGATGGAGTGCTGCATCAGATGACCTGGCCTCCACAATCACCCGACTTCAACCCAATTGAGATGGTTTGGGATCAGTTGGACCGCAGAGTGAAGGAAAAGCAGCCAACAAGTGCTCAGCATATGTGGGAACTCCTTCAAGACTGTTGGAAAATATTCCTCATGAAGCTGGTTGAGAGAATGCCAAGAGTGTGCAAAGCTGTCATCAAGGCAAAGGGTGGTTATTTGAAGAATCTCAAATATAAAATATATTTTGATTTGTTTAACACTTTTTTTGGTTACTACGTGATTCCATATGTGTTATTTCATAGTGTTGATGTCTTCACTATTATTCTACAATGTAGAAAATAGTGAAAATAAAGAAAAACCCTTGAATGAGTAGGTGTGTCCAAACCTTTAACTGGTACTGCACATTAAAAGGTAAGATTTGCACTTTTGTGCAGTGTCTGTATATGAATGTAGTAGTATTTGTGCAGTGCGTGTTTGTGGTGTGTGTGTTTGTCGTGACTTTTTTTGTGCCCATCTCTGTTCTGTAGGCAACTTGCCACTCTCTACTGAATAAAGCCACAGTTAAAGAGAAAAAGGAAAGCAAAAAAGCAGTAAGTTCAGAGAACGTTCTCCCTAGCCACTCTCTTGAAAGAAAGGGAAAGTCATTCACCCTCTTGCTGCTCTATCACCTTAAACTACTTTATACTCCCGCCCTCCTTACAATCCTCACCTGAAATCCCACTACTAATACTTTTACTTCCAAATGAGTTGATCTGGATTTGAATGTACGCTCACCACAAACAAACTGGTGGCACTGGTGAAACTACAGTATTCCTATCCACTGCTCCTCTGGGCTGTTACTGGTGTGGGCTGTGGGGTTTTGGGGTTGGTGTTGAAAGGAGTTTGGGAGTCGATGATAACAGGCTCATGTTGCAGATGGTCAAGGAGCACTTTGGCACATAGTTGTGCTGTGCTACTCGGTATCCTGAGATCCACTCTCATGGAATTTGGAACCAACATAGTGTCTTAATAGGGCGTTGAGCCACCACAAGCCGCCAGAACAGCTTCAATGCGCCTTGGCATAGGTTCTACAAGTGTCTGGAACTCTGTTGGAGGGATGCGACACCATTCTTCCATGAGAAATTTCATTATTTGGTGTTTTGTTGATGGTGGTGGAAAACGCTGTCTCAGGCGCCGCTCCAGAATCTCCCAGAAGTTTTCAATTGGTTAGCGATCTGGTGACTTGAGACACACACACGCACGTTTGTTTTACTGTCCTTGTGGGGACCAAAACATTTATTCCTATTTAAAATCCTATTTTCCCTAACCCTTAACCTAACCCAGGGTTTCCCAAACTCTGTCCTTGGGACCCCAAGGGGTGCACGTTTCGGTTTTTGACCTAGCACTACACAGCTGATTCAAATAATCAACTAATCATCAAGCTTTGTCAGAGGAAGGCCCTAAAATTGTCAAAGACTCCAGCCACCCTAGTCATAGACTGTTCTCTCTGCTACCGCACGGCAAGCATTACCGGAGCGCCAAGTCTAGGTCCAAAAGGCTTCTAAACAGCTTCTACCCCCAAGTCATAAGAGTCCTGAACATCTAATCATATACAGGTACCCCCTGTATATAGCCTTGCTATTGTTATTTTTACTGCTGCTCTTTCATTATTTGTTACTTTTATTTCTTATTATTTTATATTGTATTTTTTGTGTGAATTTTTTTGGTATTCTTTCTTAAAACTGCATTGTTGGTTAAGGGCTTGTAAGTAAGCATTTCACTGTAAGGTCTACACCTGTTGTATTCAGCGCATGTGACAAATACAATTTGATTTGATTTGAATCAGCTGTGTAGTGTTAGGGCAAAAACCAAAACGTGGTGTTGAAAGGAGTTTGGGGGTCGACGTTGCAGATGGTCAAGGAGGACTTTGTTCCATAGTTGTGCTGTGCGACTCAGTATCCTGGGATCCACACCGCTTTTTGGAAAGCGCTCATGGAATTTGTAACTCTCTTGTGAAGACCTAAGGCTTTCTCTGAAGTTCATTACTAGCTACGTTTCACAGTGCAGAAAGACCTCCACACCCTCAGTTCTCTATACTGCATTTACTGTATCTGAAATGAACAATGTAGTGAGCTAGCAGCCTATTGTTGTGCATCCCTCATAGGTGGATGTCATATTGGCATGATAGTTAAAATTGCTAGCGGTCAATATCCTGTGTTGATGGGACTGGGTAAGCTGTAGAGGCCTGGTCATTGGCTGACCTTTCAAAGCAATCTAATACTGCACATCATTAATGACAGCTTGTGTTATTCCAGCAGCAATGAAACAATACTTTTCATTAGGTTGCATTATCTTACAGCCTAGTATTTCCACTGCTGCAATCTCCCTATTAAAACACACTTGTGTTAAAACTGTTAACATTTTAGTATGCAGAACGTTTGATCAATTCAGGGCATTGATTTAATTAAACATCGCCTAGCGTTTTTTCATAAGCATACAGTATCATGTCTACCCTAGTAGTTAGGACTGGTCTAAGATTCTCCTCCCCCTTTTCAAGATTTCCAGGTACCTTGCTTTCCTTTTTAATCTCTAACTCAGTTTTGAAGCGGGCCTAGTGGTGTGAATGAGGTTTGGAGGTGATGATGTTGGCATCTTGTCCTCTAGACTGTGGCATACTTTGTCTCCCTCCCCACTCTCCACCCTGCACTCTTTCTACCCCTCTATCTTCTCCAACCCATGCCCTCTCCTCCTCTCCCTCTCTCTAACAATGAATCATCCCCCGTTCTTACCATCCCTCCAACACCCTCACACACACAGGTGGTCAGCCAGCGTTTCCCCCAGAACAGCATAGGGGCGGTGGGCAGTGCCATGTTCCTGCGTTTTATCAACCCTGCCATAGTGTCGCCCTACGAGGCAGGCATCCTGGATAAGAAACCTCCTCCCAGGATAGAGAGGGGCCTGAAGCTCATGTCCAAGGTAAGAGGACACGATACCCAGGCCACATATACAAAGGTGATATGGCTTAATAATATGCTATATTCTTTTTGAGGATCTGGCCTTGTTGTTGACAAGGTTTTATTTTTCTCTTACAGATCCAGCAGAGCATTGCCAACCATGTTTTATTCACCAAAGAGGAGCACATGAGGCCTTTTAATGACTTTGTCAAAAGCAACTTTGATGCAGCTAGAAGGTATGATAACAGAAGGATCTCTTCCCTCTCTGAGAATACATTGATATGTATTGGATGTTTTCACTGGATACTAATTACCCTAGCAGGTTTAGCTAAATCTTGTTCCTTTTACCTATGTGTTGTAGGTTTTTCCTGGACATTGCATCAGACTGTCCTGCCAGTGACTCAGTCAACCACAGTCTGTCCTTCATCAGTGATGGCAATGTTCTGGCCCTGCACCGGCTGCTGTGGAACAACCAGGAGAAGATAGGACAGTACCTCTCCAGCAACAGGTGAGTGGGCAGAATGGAACAAACAGAGATGGTCTGTTGTATGGCTTAGATGTTATAAGAGATAAGTAAGATATTTTACATAACGCAGATCTTTAGGATAAACAACAACCCATCTCACAGGAGGTTTTGTTTGATACTATAGTACACCTCTGTACCTGATGCATGTGGCAGATGTGTATCAGAGAGTAGACTTGATGTTATTGTAACCTCTGAATATATTGCTAACCTCTTCGTTGTTCTTCATCAGGGATCATAAGGCAGTGGGAAGACGGCCTTTTGACAAGATGGCCACCCTCCTGGCCTACCTGGGGCCCCCAGAGCACAAACCTGTGGCTGACACCCACTGGTCCAGCCTCAACCTCACCAGCTCCAAGTTTGAAGAGTTTATGACAAGGTACATACATCAAGTTACTATTAATTACATACAGGTAACTGCCAAAATAAAGGAAACACCAACATAGTGTCTTAATAGGGCATTGGGCCAGAACAGCTTCAATGCACCTTGGCATAGATTCTACAATTGTCTGGAACTCTATTGGTGGGATGTGACACCATTCTTTCGTGAGAAATTCCACAATTTGTTGTTTTGCTGATGGAGGTGTAAAACGCTGTCTCAGGCGCCGCTCCAGAATCTCCCATAATTGTACAATTGGGTTGAGATCTGGTGACTGAGACACACACACACCCTTTAAGCCCCCTATGCTCCTTTGAGACCCCTCTTTCAAAGTTACTAAGATCTCTTCTAGCCATGGTAGGCAAAATAATGGGCAACTGGGCAGGCATTTTTATACAGTACATGACCCTAAGCATGGGATGTTAATAGCTTAATTAACTCAGGAACCACACCTGTGTGGAAGCACATGCTTTCAATATACGCTGAGTGTACAAAACATTAATAACACCATCCTAATATTGAGTTGCTCCCGCCTCCTTTTGCCCTCAGAACTAACAAGGAATTAACAAGTGACATCAATAAGGGATCACAGCCTTCATCTGGTCAGTCTGTCATGGAAAGAACAGGTGTTCATAATGCTTTATACACTCTGTGTACTTTGTATCCCTCAAGTGTTTCCTTTATTTTGTCAGTTACCTGTTGATCTCACTGTCACAAAGCAGTCTCATAAAACAGGATATGTAAGTATCTGAGGCAGTGGTTGTTTTAGTAGTACTCTGAAAGTATTTCCCTGTCTCGTTCCTGCTCCCTCAGACACCAGGTACATGAGAAAGACGAGTTCAAAGCCCTGAAGACCCTCAACATCTTCTACCAGGCTGGCACCTCCAAGAACGGCAACCCTGTCTTCTACTACATTACACGCAGGTGAGGTCTGCAGACTGTCACATTTCAACAGAAAGTCACAAAACACTATATTCACTTTATCATGATGCATTTATTCAGAAACATAGAAGTTGTTTTAACATGTGTGCTATATTTTATTTTAGTAGATAACAAAAGGTATTTGTAAAGTGTCCAATGAGTACAGGTCATCGTGGTCTTCCTTAGGGTGAGAATATATGTAGTTAAAGAATAGGTTGACATCCCAGGTTGAGGGAGTGCATGGTGAGTAAAGTGATGTATTCCGCTGCCTTGCTGCCATCAGAAAGTAGCTAGCTGCTGCAGGATTGTGGAGGACAGAGCCAGGAGCATGGGGCCAAGCCCCCACAGAGAGGAGTGTGGGGGAGAGGAGTTGGTGCCGTTGGTGACGAAAGGGGTACTGTTGGTGGGGTTGGTGTTCATCACAATCCCATGTTGAGCCAGCAAGAAACTGGCCATCACAACCATATGCAGCACACCACTATGAAAATGCATTCTCTTTCTGTGGTCAAACTGCCAATGTAGAAATAAGACAACCAACATGTCAGTCACCAAGCATGCCAAGTAGATCAGCATTTTTTACGCTCTTTAATTTGTAAGTCTAGTAAATTTCTCATGAGTTGTTTCCATATTGAAGCTGTATTGCATTAAGGTCACTGTACATTCTAAGTTCATCTTAGTAAACTGACTTGATTGATGAATGCCAGCAAATTGATCTCAATAAACATCTCACCAATTATAACAACAACAGGACCACCAGCACCATTCAAAGATCTTCCACTTACCTGTTATTATGAGGTAAAGTCTCTCAGCTTCAGTGGTGATGATTGTAGATGAACCAACAGTTTGGGAGGAGGTATTTTATTGCACCTGGCTAATGACATCATTATAGTTGACTGTTGGCATTGGCAGTTCACCTCAAAGGGGGGGAGCAGTGTTTCTGTTTAGCCTTACCCATGGAAAATCACAAAACACCATGAACTCTCTCTCTCTCTCTCTCTCTCTCTCTCTCTCTCTCTCTCTCTCTCTCTCTCTCACTCACTCACTCACTCACTCACTCACTCACTCACTCACTCACTCACTCACTCACTCACTCACTCACTCACTCACTCACTCACTCACTCACTCACTCACTCACTCACTCACTCACTCACTCACTCACTCACTCACTCACTCACACACAAACAAGTATTTGTGGATGTGATTGAGTGATGTAGCCCACTGTGGTGCCAGTAGGAAACTTATAGGTACAGTATGGTGCCACCTGCTGCTGAGTCAAGGTCATAGCCTCTAAATTGTTGTGAAAGAACCAATGACTGTATATACAGTACCAGTCAAAAGTTTGGACACACCTACTCATTCAAGGGTTGTTCTTTATTTTTACTATTTTTTACATTGTAGAATAATAGTGAAGACATAAAAACTATGAAATAACACATATGGAATCATGTAGTAACCAAAAAAGTGTTAAACTAATCAAAACATATTTTATATTTGAGATTCTTCAAATAGCCACCCCTTGCCATGATGACAGCTTTGCATACTCTTGGCATTCTCTCAACCAACTACTTTTCCTTCACTCTGCCGTCCGACTCATAGCAAACCATCTCAATTGGGTTGAGGTCGGGGGATTTTGGAGGCCAGGTCATCTGATGCAGCACTCCATCACTCTCATTCTTGGTAAAATAGCAGTTACACAGCCTGGAGGTGTGTTGGGTTATTGTCCTGTTGAAAAACAAATGATAGTCCCACTAAGCCCAAATCAGATGGGATGGCGTATCGCTGCAGAATGCTGTGGTAGCCATGCTGGTTAAGTGTGCCTTGAATTCTAAATAAATCACAGACAGTGTCACCAGCAAAGCACCCCCACACCATAAAACCTCCTCCTCCATGCTTTACGGTGTGAAATACACATGCGGAGATCATCCGTTCACCCACACCGCGTCTCACAAAGACACGCCGGTTTGAACCAAAAAACTCAAATTTGGATTCTAGACCAAAGGACATCTTTCCCGGTCTAATGTCCATTGCTCGTGTTTCTTGGCTCTTCTTCTTATTGGTGTCCTTTAGTAGTGGTTTCTTTGCAGCAATTCGACCATGAAGGCCTGATTCACACAGTCCCCTCTGAACAGTTGATGTTGAGATGTGTCTGTGACTTGAACTCTGTGAAGCATTTATTTGGGCTGCAATTTCTGAGGCTGGTAACTCTAATGAACTTATCCTCTGCAGCAGAGGTAACTCTGGGTCTTCCATTCCTGTGGCGGTCCTCATGAGAGCCAGTTTCATCATAGCGCTTGATGGTTTTTGCGACTGCACTTGAAAAACGTTAAAAGTTCTTGAAATGTTCCGTATTGATTGACCTTCATGTCTTAAAGTAATGATGGACTGTCATTTCTCTTTGCTTATTTGAGCTGTTATTGCCACAATATGGCAACACAACTGATTGGCTCAAACACATTAAGAAATAAATACATTCCACAAATTAACTTTTAAGAAGGCACACCTGTTAATTGAAATGCATTCCAGGTGACTACCTCATGAAGCTGGTTGAGAGAATGCCAAGAGTGTGCAAAGCTGTCATCAAGGCAAAGGGTAGCTACTTTGAAGAATCTCAAATCTCAAATATATTTGGATTTGTTTAACACCTTTTTGGTTACTACATGATTCCATATGTGTTATTTCATAGTTTTGATGTCTCACTATTATTCTACAATGTAAAACAATTTTAAAATTAAGAAAAACCCTTGAATGAGTAGGTGTGTCAACTTTTGACTGGTAGTGTATGTGAATGGACAAAGCCATCGATCACATGGCACTATTCATTCCTATGTGAAGACTCAGTAGCGCAGTTTAAGCTACTCCAGGAAGTGACTTTGCAGGCTAGCACAGTGCTGCCCCCTCATTGAGTAACTCAAGTTGAATTGAAGGCCGACCAGGGTACTGCAGGCTGCCATTAGCAAATAAATTATCCTTATAACTTCTGTGTGCGATTTTTAAATAATCGGTTCAAGGACCTACATCTGGTGTATTAGAAGCAATTACTGGAACCATGTTTGTGCTCGTAAGTGTTTTTTATTTACACAAAGATTGACCACGAAGATGGCAATTTTTCCATTCACTATAATGGGGGATCCTGTTTTCTGCTAACAATGCCTGCAGCACAGGAGGCTGCTGAGGGGAGGACGGCTCATAATAACGGAGCAAATGGAATGGCATCAAACACCTGGAAACCATGTGTTTGATGTATTTGATACCATTCCGCTAATTCCGCTCCAGTCATTACCTGCAGTACCACTGTCTGCCTTGAACTCCCATGGCTTCAATGAGAGGGGGCAGTCATTCTCCCCTGGAAAGAATCTGGTTAAGAAACAGGTTAAAGGCCCAGTGAAGTCAAACAATTGATTTTCCTGTGTTTTATATATAAACTCAGCAAAAAAAGAAATGTCCCTTTTTCAGGACCCTGTCTTTCAAAGATAATTCGTAAAAATCCAAATAACTTCACAGATCTTCATTGTAAAGGGTTTAAACACTGTTTCCCATGCTTGTTCAATGAACCATAAACAATTAATGAACATGCACCTGTGGAACGGTCGATAAGACACTAACAGCTTACAGACGGTAGGTAATTAAGGTCACAGTTATGAAAAGGACACTAAAGAGGCATTTCTACTGACTCTGAAAAACACCAAAAGAAAGATGCCCAGGGTCCCTGCTCATCTGCGTGAATGTGCCTTAGGCATGCTGCAAGGAGGCATGAGGACTGCAGATGTGGCCAGGGCAATAAATTGCAATGTCCGTACTGTGAGACGCCTAAGACAGCGCTACAGAGAGACAGGACGGACAGCTGATCGTCCTCGCAGTGGCAGACCACGTGTAACAACACCTGCACAGGATCGGTACATCCGAACATCACATCTGCGGGACAGGTACAGGATGGCAACAACAACTGCCTGAGTTACACCAGGAACGCACAATCCCTCCATCAGTGCTCAGACTGTCCGCAATAGGCTGAGAGAGGCTGGACTGAGAGGCCTGTTGTAAGGCAGGTCCTCACCAGACATCACCAGCAACAATGTCGCCTATGGGCACAAACCCACCATCGCTGGACCAGACAGGACTGGCAAAAAGTGCTCTTCACTGACAAGTCGCGGTTTTGTCTCACCAGGGGTGATGGTCGGATTCGTGTTTATCGTCGAAGGAATGAGCGTTACACCGAGGCCTGTACTCTGGAGCGGGATCGATTTGGAGTTGGAGGGTCCGTCATGGTCTGGGGCGGTGTGTCACAGCATCATCGGACTGAGCTTGTTGTCATTGCAGGCAATCTCAACGCTGTGCGTTACAGGGAAGACATCCTCCTCCCTCATGTGGTACCCTTCCTGCAGGCTCATCCTGACATGACCCTCCAGCATGACAATGCCACCAGCCATACTGCTCGTTCTGTGCGTGATTTCCTGCAAGACAGGAATGTCAGTGTTCTGCCATGGCCAGCGAAGAGCCCGGATCTCAATCCCATTGAGCACGTCTGGGACCTGTTGGATCGGAGGGTGAAGGCTAGGGCCATTCCCCCCAGAAATGTCAGGGAACTTGCAGGTGCCTTGGTGGAAGAGTGGGGTAACATCTCACAGCAAGAACTGGCACATCTGGTGAAGTCCATGAGGAGGAGATGCACTGCAGTACTTAATGCAGCTGGTGGCCACACCAGATACTGACTGTTACTTTTGATTTTGACCCCCCCTTTGTTTAGGGACACGTTATTCCATTTCTGTTAGTCACATGTCTTTGGATCTTGTTCAGTTTATGTCTCAGTTGTTGAATCTTGTTATGTTCATACAAATATTTACACATTAAGTTTGCAGTTTGAAATTTCAGCCTGTTTTGGTGGGATGGAGTTTTGGCCTTCCATGGTGACATCACCTGGCGGTAAATAACAGCTAGTTTTTAGTTTTCCCCTCCCCACTCAGACCACTCCCAGACAGTCCTAGCAAAATTCTTGCTTGAGAAATTGCTCTTTGCTAAGAAGCTATTTTGGTTTATTTTTGAACATTTTAATTTAGAACAATCACAGTAAGGTACTTAATTATTATCCAGAAATGATTTGATATTGAGATAAAAACGGCTGCATTGGGCCGTTAAGTATTAAAAGTGAATGATGAAAACAGAGTTATGCAGATAGTGAGTACTAAAGCATTTGTTCAGCATCCCAATAATGATCATGTATATACAGTGGTAGACTAGTAGTGTTATATGTACGTGGATCCTGCCTGTGCTTGTCATACAGTATATTGTTATTGATCAAAGTAATGCAGAAGAGAGTCCATTTGAGTAAGTGTCTGACAGTATTCAAAATGGAAAGAAAACAAAGTTGGTTTAATGACACTCATTTGTGTGTGTTTGTGCAATTGTATGTCCAAAGTGTGACAAGGACATTACTCCAACTCCAGACATTTCCTTCAACTCCAGACATTTCCTTCCTTCAATCAGAGGACATACCGGGTGTGAGTCAGGAAGAACCACAGGTTCAGTAGTAGTGGGAGAGTAGAACTGGGGCTGGGGGCTGGGCTGGTGTTGCGTACCGGGGTGCCACCCTGGTTAGGCCTCTTGACACTCCTGGTGCGGAGGGTGGCCGTTCTCCTTGTGATGGTAGAGGGGTTGTCAGTGGTGAAGGCTATGTCTGTGGTGTAGAAGCTGTCAGTAGTAAATGCAGTGTCTGTTAGGAAGGGGTCGTCTGTGGTTGTCAAGCTACGGTCTGTGTGGGAGCTGTCAGTGGGCAGGGTGGAAATGGCTAGAGGGGTGGAGGTGAACGGGTATTGGTCTGTGAAGAGGTTGTGGTCCTCTGATCCACTGGGGCGTCCTGGGGCTCTCCTGGTGTGGAGCTGGGTGTTGAGCAGGGCAGACTTGGACAGGTACCAAGGCCACCTGGTGAGGGCCTCTGGAGGAGGAGGGTGGCTCAGCTCCTCCTGAGTACCAGCAGCCAGGGGAGGCTGAGTGTAGGAGGCAAAGTGCCACCCTCCAGTCCTGGCCAGTGGGGGCTCTCCACAGACAGGGTGAATGTGGCAGGGGCATCCCAGCACGCGGGTGGAGGTGTGCTTGAGCCAGGCCAGCAAGTGGGTGATGTTGGTCTGGTGCTCACAGGCCCAGGGGTTGTCCCCCAGGGAGAGGAGCCTCAGCCTGCCCAGCTGGCTGAAGGCCCCGGGGCCCACAGAGGAGAAGCGGTTGGAGTGCAGGTAGAAGGTGGTCAGCCTAAACAGCCGGTTCAGAGTGCCAGGCAGCATCTGCACCAGGGAGTTGTGGGAAAGGTCCACGGTCTCCAGGCTGGCAGGCATGTTGGTTGGCACGGTCCAGAAGCGGTTGTGGCTGAGGTTGAGCAGGCGCAGGCTGGTCAGGGTGTTGTTGATGAACACGGCCCGCTCCAGCTTGTTATTGGACATGTCCAGGACCCGCAGGTTCCACTGGTAGGCCGTGTCATTTTTGTCCAGCAGGTGGATGCGGTTGGCTGCGGTGTGGAGCTCCCACAGGGCTCTGGGCAGCGCGGTGGGCAGGCGGACCAGCCTGTTGTAGGACAGGTCCAGGGTGCGGAGGTGGGCGAAGGTACTCAGCTGGCCGTCCAGGTCGTGGATGCGGTTGTGAGATAGGTTGAGGGAGTGCAGGTTGTGCTGCAGGCCCAGGGGCAGTGTCCTCAGGTCCCTCCAGGAACAGTCCACTTCCCTGTGGCTGCGGTTACAGGTGCACATGGGGGGGCAGACAGCCAGGGCCTGTAGACCCAGCAGCATCAACAGCCATAGCACGGCCACACAGTGGGGAAGGACACTGGGGGGCATCAGTAGCACACGCCTTGAAACACCAGGAGAAATGAGTTAGAAACATGATAGCAAGCTCACTGTATTAGCTGGGCTACATATCAAAGCAGTAGCATGTGTTAGTAAAACCGTATAGTCCACATAGGTAGTAGACAAAGAGCACAGTGAATGAATGAGATGCAGATTGAGACTATCCTCTCTGCACCAGTAGTGGAGGAGAGGCTGTGTTACTGCAGTGAGCTGTGCTGAACACACCAGAGACAACAGTTAAGATCTCATTCTCTCCCATTCTGTTCCACTCTCGCCCTCTCTCTCTCATGGAGGCGCCCTAACATCTGGCTCATGACCGCAGTACACACACACACACCTGCACACATACCTGCACATGTGTGAACGTGACCTCCATAAATATGCAGGTATAGTTATCAAGCAGCGTGTGTAGATATACGCTTGTCACAGTGCTGCAGACATGCCTTCTCCAGCATGCTCATGCATACAATACAGTATGTGAGTAGGGTTTAAACATTTGGCTTTAACTCCTACAGCTTATTTATTTAGGAAGGGAGTTCCCCCAACCTCCCTAGCAACGAACTAGTGGGCAGTGTGATGCTTTGACTAGAATGGCTTGTAGTCTGTTTTGAAGAGGATGTTCTGATTGGCTCGGGCTATTAGTCTGTAGAGGATACCTTTTAAAAGATGGTTGTACATCACTAGAGGTGTGAATTCCCTACTGTCCCATTTCACTGATGTTAATTAGCCTGTTCGATATAGCCCAATCAGTGAGTGTCAGCTATTGAGCAGGGAGTTGTTCCTACTAGAACGGGCTGAATAGATTGGTTTTTATTCATGACTAAGGAGAGTACACCGGCCAGTCCCGCAGCAAGCGGAGTCAGAGAAATTATGCACAGGGAGCAGTGCAAAGATTAAATTACTGTAGCACCATAGTCATGTATGTTTGTGTGTGTGCATTGTTGCTTTCTTGTCTTTTCTTGGATTCCATCGGGGTGTGTGCGTGTGCGTGTGCGTGTGCGTGTGTGTGTGTGTGTGTGTGTGTGTGTGTGTGTGTGTGTGTGTGTGTATGTCATGCGTAAATGTGTGTGAGAGAGAATAGAGACACTCACCTTTTCCTCATCTTTGCATTCCAGTCACTTCTCTCCTCTGGTCCTCAGCCAAAGGCTGCTCTCTATCCTTTGTCTCCTAAAACACTGGAGTAGCAGCTGCTTTGCTGAAGAGGGATTTTCTAGGGTTTAATGGTTTTTTGCTCATTCACTGTTTTTAACGGCCTCTTGCTTTTCCTTTCCTACCTCCTGAGGCGGTTCTTTTCCCTGGTTTTGTCCTTGATCCCTCTTTTTTTCTCTGGAGGATGGACCATTAGGAGTATCTGTCTCTTAGTCTGTCCTTTAGGTCCAGTGATGCAGGTAGCATTAAACGGTATAAACTCCTACTGCTTGAGCAGCCACTGTAGGCTCTGCATTCACACTGTGAAGAGTGTGTGTGTTAGGGAGGGAGAGAGGGAGGGAGAGAGGGAGGGAGGGAGTGAGTTTGAGGGGAAATTGGGAGGGGTGTAGGAGAGGAGTAGAGATGCAGTGCGGCCCATAGCTACTGATGACTGAGGAGCAGGGGACTACTGACTCCAATGTTTCATCATCTCTATCATTCAAATAAATATCTTCCATCTCTCTCTCCCCACACCGTCCTCTTTCCGTATCTCTGGATTTAGCTAGGACTGTCAATGAAAATCCACTGACTCACTGCACCATGGAGGGGAATTTATTTTATAAAACGAAAATGTTCTTCATATTTTGCTATAATAGTTATGTACCCGTACATATTGTGGTAATGAGAAACAGTTGATTTTGGATTGAAGTTGTTGTTAGTAGTCAGTATTATGCCCAATTCACGGACAACCCATTTAGGCATGACATGCAATAAATCCACACTTTTTCATCATGTTGTCAGCCATAAGTAGATTAATACATATCTGAGAAAGAGCCTGGGAACATAAAACGGATCGGTGGCGGTGCGGCAGTCTTGAATGTGGTGTTATGCTGCTTTGTTGTATTTCCCTTCTCTGGTCAGTGAAAACAGGGCATTCTTCCCAAGCTCAGTGGTACTGCCCAACAGACACAGACTCTGCTTACTAATGCCCAGCCTCTCTCTCCCTTTCTCTGTAATTGATCCACATGCACACTCGCACAAAAACACTCGCACACAATTAGCTGTCTCTGTAGCAGAGAAACACTCAGGAAGCAATTTACAGAGTGTCCTAATTCTTTATTGTTGTATACAAAGCCTTGGAAACAGAAGGGCAGATGGCGCTAGAGTAGAAAAGTTTGAACTCTTCCTTACTGTAGAGAAAAGACCAAGGAAGTGATGTCGACTTGTAGTAAAACATTGTGAGAGCGTTTCTGGAAGAGGTTTGTGGCTTAAAAACTGTTCCTCTAAATGCAGTCTCTTTACTTAAACTGATACTACAGTTTAGTGCTGGTTGGTTCTGTTTTGTAATTTTTCAGAATTTTGAATATCTAAAAAAGGAGAAGTGAGGGAAATGTCAGCAAGCTGTGATACAACCACTAGACAAAACAGGAGTCATTTCCTCTGATCAGTGACACTGATGATGGCTATACGTTTTAACTAAACTATTTTTGTTACACAAAAAAAAAAAATTATACAAATATTAAACATTCACATTATATTCAACTTCTTGTGGTACATTCATTTGAAGAGACATTATCATAATGGTAATTATTTCTCAAGTTTTGAATGAGAATGCAAGCATAAAATACAAAGCTACTCTAGCATTGAAAAACCACACTAAATCACTCTAAGCAGATCTCTTTACAGCATGCCAATAGAAGCTGTTGTATAAAACTGTGCTGTACCCATCGGTATGCAGCTGAGGACAGTTTGGCCAGTGGTTTGAGCTTGTTTCTGGGCCAGAGTCTGAGGAGGTCGTCACCATGTGAGAACCCTCACCCCACAACCACAACAACATCACTGGAGGCTTGGGAGGGGGGAGAGACTGCTGTGGCTGCGGGGTCAGAGGGCTCTGCAGGCTGCTTGGTGGTGGTGGTGACTGGGCTCCCCTGGCTAGGGTTTGCAGCTCCTGACACCCCGTTTTCCGTCGCTTCCTTCTTCTCGTCCTTCTTGGGTGTGTCTTTCGCCATCTCATTTTTCCCTTGCTCCTTGTCTTCCTTGCCCCTCTCCCCCTCCTGGGTCTGTTTGAGCTCTGCCATCATCAGGCTGGTCTCACTGGGCTCAGAGTCAGGCCTCTCCTTGGTCCTCTGGCCAATGCCCAAGTACGCAGCACCACTCACCAGGTCTACATTGCTGCGGGGGGGGCGGCTGCTGATGCGGGGCCGGCGCTTCAGGTGGCACACCTGGCATGACAGCACCACGGTGGAAACCAGCAGGATGGTACACAGGACCACCAGGCCACCTGTCACCATCAGCAGGATGGTTCCCTCATTCTTCTCAAACAGACAGTAAGAGCCGGGGCTGGGTTTGGCCTCAAGTGGAGGGTAGGCAGTAGGTTTGGTGTTGGCTCTGGATGGTGTGTTGTTGGTGTTCACTGGGCTATTGGTTCCAGATGTTTCACTGGTGTTGAGTGTAGCTGGCGTTGTTGATTCTGACTGAAAATCTTTGGTTGAGATTTGATTTGTTGAATTGTCTAATTTTGTTAATTCTGTAGTTCCAGAAGGTCCCATGGTTGCGTTAGGGTTAGCCAAAGTTCCATTTTCAGTTGTGAAGTTTTCACCAGTAGGATTGTTACCGTCATTAGCAAGTACTGCTGTTCCCATGATTACCACACAGTACAGGAAGAGGCAGACAAGGGAGCCATTCATATTTCTATGGGAAAAGGGGGAGAAAAGAGAGATCAGAGTGAGGTTGACTGGTGACCCTCAGTAAGTATTATAGCATCCCAAGTTCTGCTTTTTTTTACACATTGTGTTCCTTTGTGGTTTCATGTGTGAGTGTCAGAGTTTCCATACTGACTGATGTCATTTGATCAGCAGTCCGAGATCTGAGTGACAATGATGAAGATTGGTATTAATCTGAGATTTCAAATATCTTGATTAATTTGATTAGCCTTCTTGTTGAACCATTATTAATTTATTTTGTCCAGAATGTATTTGAGAGTTGATGATCAATATTCACTTCCAGTTTATGCCAGTACATTTAAAAAAAACTGGCATTGTGCAATTTTGATCTCCCAGAAATTGAACTCAAGCGATTCTGGTCAATATAAACTGTAACCTATAATTTCTGGGTATGATGTACAAAATCTCAAGACTGGATCTCCTTACAGTTAGGATCTCAAAATAATACACTATACAAAAAACACTTCCCTCAGTTATACATCAGTTCAACACAGGACCCTCTACCCTGTGAAGGTAGACTATTTCCAAACTTTGTTTTTGTTCTTGAATATGTTGATATCACTTACCTTGACGGAGTTGACCAGTCTGTGTGTGGTACTTCGTAAAACGAGAGAATCCAGGCAGAGATTCAGAAAGCCCAGCCATATATGTGACCAGTTTTAGAAACAAGAAATATGAAGAGTGGTGTGAAAGACTCACTCAAGCCGTCATCATGCTCATTCAGTAATGACATGTTTCCTGTTCCTCTCTCACTTCTCCTTTTCTGCTTTATTTGAAGCTAGCTACTTGATTTCCTGTGTGATGTTTAGCTTGGTCACGCAGAAGGCAGAGGGTTAGCACTATGGCACTCTCCGCGGGGTTGGAAGAAAGCGGATGTTTCCGTTTTTCAAGGATCCAGTATTTTCACCTAAAGTCTGTTTCCCCAGAAAAACAGATGTTGGGACTATGCTCAGGTGTCTTTTTACGCCTACTGTGTTAGGTTAGCACTATGGTTAACACACTACAACAGTAGTACTATGGTTAGCACTATGGTTAACACACTACAACAGTAGTACTATGGTTAGCACTATGGTTAACACACTACAACAGTAGTACTATGGTTAGCACTATGGTTAACACACTACAACAGTAGTACTATGGTTAGCACTATGGTTAACACACTACAACAGTAGTACTATGGTTAACACACTACAACATTAGTACTATGGTTAGCACCTATGGTAATCACACTACAACAGGTGGGGGGTTGAGAGGAAGTGGAAACATTGACTGTCCGTGTGTAATTTTCCAACCGAGTCAAGTGTTGAACTGTGACTCAATCAGGTTGGCATGACACACACATTTCCTGTCCCCTACACCCTATTCAATTTACAGTGACTTAAAAATGCTTCTGTGATGGCCCCCTCTGCCTCTCCCTCTTCACCCTCCCAGATTTAAGACGGGCCAGATCAATGGTGATCTCCTCATCTACCATGTGCTGCTGACCCTGAAGCCCTACTACGCCAAGCCCTATGAGATCGTGGTGGACCTGACCCACGCTGGACCCAGCAACCGCTTCAAGACCGACTTCCTGTCCAAGTGGTTCGTGGTGTTCCCGGGCTTCGCCTACGAGAACGTGGCGGCCATCTACATCTACAACTGTAACACGTGGGTGAGGGAGTACACCAAGTACCACGAGAGGCTGCTGACTGGCCTGAAGGGGAGCAAGAAGCTGCTGTTCATTGACTCCCCGGCGCGGCTAGCGGAGCACGTGGAGCCTGATCAGCAGAAGCTACCTGCGGCCACGCTAGCCCTGGAGGAAGACCTCAAGGTGTTCCACAACGCCCTCAAACTGGCCCACAAGGACACCAAGGTCTCCATCAAGGTCAGGATATGAGGAAGTCAGTAGATTCAGAATGAAATATGTTTCCTACATATTTTTTGGTCTTTGGGAAATAATTGAAAGTAAGTAAGGCACAGACAGGAATGACAGGAATGGCTGAGACAGATTTAATCTTTGTCCCAGGAGGTATATGTGGTCTGGAGTCAGGAGCGTCAACCGCTTCTCCAGACTCTGGCTTATAATTGACGTTTTTGAACAATGTTACCATTTTGTGTGTCAGGTAGTATAGTAACTCCATCTCTCCAACTCCAACGTCTCTGTGTTTCTGTACCCAGGTGGGCTCCACGGCGGTCCAGGTGACGTCAGCAGAGCGAACCCGGGTCCTGGGCCAGTCGGTCTTCCTCAACGACATCTACTACGCCTCGGAGATCGAGGAGATCTGCCTGGTGGACGAGAACCAGTTCACCCTGACCATCGCCAACCAGGGCACTCCGCTCACCTTCATGCACCAGGAGTGTGAGGCCATCGTCCACTCCATCATCCACATCAGGACGCGCTGGGAGCTGTCCCAGCCTGACTCCATCCCCCAGCACACCAAGATCAGGCCCAAAGACGTGCCGGGCACCCTGCTCAACATCGCCCTGCTCAACCTGGGTAGCTCTGACCCCAGCCTCAGGTCAGACACAGCTGAGGAAAATATGTTTAGATTTTGGTGAGACTATGAGAGTTGACAGTTAGTGTTCTTAGGGATGTTTGATATACATACATCTATTATGCTTACTGATTTACGTTTTTTCTCTCTATCTCTGTCTGTCTGTCTGTCTGTCTGTCTGTCTGTCTGTCTGTGCTGTGCTGTGCGCAGGTCTGCAGCCTACAACCTGCTGTGTGCCTTAACCTGCACCTTCAACCTGAAGATAGAAGGCCAGCTGCTGGAGACCTCAGGGCTGTGTATCCCTGCCAACAACACGCTTTTCATAGTGTCCATCAGCAAGACGCTGGCTGCTAACGAACCACATCTCACCCTGGAGTTCCTGGAGGAGTGTATCTCTGGCTTCAGCAAATCCAGTCAGTATCCTTGTTCCTGCCCTCCACACACAAACATGTGCACGTACACACACACACACACACACACACAGTGTAACATCCTCTCTGATGTGTGCAGGTATTGAGCTAAAGCACCTGTGTCTGGAGTACATGACCCCCTGGCTACTCAACCTAGTGAGGTTCTGTAAGCACAACGACGACGCCAAGCGCCAGCGGGTCACTGCCATCCTGGATAAGCTCATCACCATGACCATCAACGAGAAGCAGATGTACCCCTCTATCCAGGCTAAGATCTGGGGTAGTCTGGGACAGGTGGGGATCTCTCTTTCTGCTCTCAGTGTGGGTGTTAGCCCATGTCTCAACCAACCACTATATTGGATGTTATTGAGGCCATACAGTAGTCCATCCATCAGCCCAGTCTGCTATTGGCTTTATTCTACTGCTGATTTATGATCTGGGAAATGGCTGAAGGATTCAGTGGACTCACTGTTTAGGATGTTATAGACACCTTATCAGATATTATGAGAGTGTTATCCCCTTATGTAGGCATTTCAAATAACTCGGTCTTTGTCAGAGTCCCTGTACTTTTCAGCTCTCAACCAGTTATCATGCTAGCCACGTGAAAATCATGAAAAACTGTTATCTTTGTGTATTAGTGTAGAGCGGGAAGTTGTGGTCTGACTGAAAAAGATGCTGGCATTCTGAGAGACAAAAAATACATACGCTAGTTAGTAACTGTAAGTCGCTCTGGATAAGAGCGTCTGCTAAATGACTAAAATGTTTATTTAGTCTCTGAGCTGAGGTCCTGTTGTGTCCTTGTTCTGTAGATAACAGACCTGCTGGACGTGGTGTTGGACAGCTTCATCAAGACCAGCGCTACAGGAGGCCTGGGATCCATCAAAGCTGAGGTGATGGCCGACACGGCTGTGGCTCTGGCCTCAGGGAACGTAAAGTTGGTGTCCAGCAAGGTGAGCGACACACACACACACACACACACACCTCAGGAATGACCACTGCGGCTATTCCCTTCACACTCTAAAGGTTGATTCTGTGACTTGAGTCTAGACAAGAATATCTGCTGCAAGCATCAATACAGATCCTCTACAGATGAATAAATGATTTCCGGATGTCCCTTGTCCTATCAAATGCCATGAAAAGCCTGTTCTGTACATTCCTTATACTTCTTTATGGCAAGTTGTGATCTTGTAATGTCACTGATTTAATAGTAGCTAATACAGTATCCAATGTTGTTACAGATTACATAATAGATTACATTACAAATTGTTTTAATTTGTACTCCTACAGTATGAATGAAAGCCTGTTTTAAATGTCTCACAAACTGCACACATTTCAAAGTGCCTACCCTGGCACACAGACATTGAACAACTCTTCCAGTTGTCATAACCACAGTACCTCTCAACAACAGTGCTGTTTGTGTCACAACTATTTATGTCATTTGGTGGTTTGCATTATTAATCATTTCCTTTTGACTGTTGAGCTGATTTCTCAGAAAGAAAGAGGGCGTTGAATGTATTGCCCAATGAAGTAGCCATAACAAAATGTTGATCATGTGATCTAGTGCCAGGAAGAGTGTGGCCTCTGAATACAAAGGCCAGTCTGTGTCGGGGTGACGTCTCTTTTCTCTTCTATCTGTACTCATATGTCAAGGCAAAACACTAAACACAGGTTGAGATATTGTGATTGCACATTTGATCAACACCAGACTGGGATATAGAGCATCTCGCTACATTCCCAGTTCTGCCTGTAACCTTTAACAACAGGAGAGATAAGGGATCTTCCCAGAGATGCTAGGTGACATGAGAGTCCTGAGTCCTCCTGTTCTTTCCCTTGGGTGGAAGGGAGAGATAATAGATAGGATGTAAAATGTGGTAAAGTCAAATGTTACGTACCCGACCTTTGATGTAACCTTAACTCCGACCCATGCCTGTCTGGCAGGTGATCATCCGCATGTGTAAGATCATCGATAAGACGTGTCTGTCTCCCACGCCCACCCTGGAGCAGCACCTGATGTGGGATGACATAGCCATCCTGGCCCGCTACATGCTCATGCTGTCCTTCAACAACTCTCTGGACGTGGCCACACACCTGCCCTACCTGTTTCATGTGGTCACTCTGCTGGTGGCCACCGGTCCCCTGTCCCTACGGGCCTCCACACACGGCTTGGTCATCAACATAATCCACTCCCTCTGTACCTGCTCCCAGCTCAACTTCAGTGGTGAGGAAGCCACACACACACACAGCACCCTGGCTGTAGACTGAGGACAGACAGACAGAGATAGGGAGCAGTGAAAATGATTCAAATGCAGAGGGTTGATCAGTGTCATGTCTTGATTCAGTGTTTTGAAAGCAGTCGGAGAGCTAGAGATTTGTTATTGATGTATAGCCTTGTTGAGACTCAGTGATAACTATTCCCCTGTGTGTTTCTCTCTTCCAGAGGAGACCAAGCAGGTCCTGAGGCTGAGCCTGACAGAGTTCTCCCTGCCTAAGTTCTACCTGCTGTTCGGCATCAGTAAGGTCAAGTCTGCTGCGGTCATCGCCTTCCGCTCCAGCTACCGCGACCGCTCCTTCTCCCCTGGGTCATACGAGAGGGAGACCTTCGCCCTCTCCTCCCTGGAGACTGTCACCGAGGCCCTGCTGGAGATCATGGAGGTCAGGAGATGTCAGCACCCCACTGACATAATCACTCATCATTACATCATCACTATAGCATGACACTGCTGTCTGTACCGGTTTAGATGTCCAGTGAACACTAACCAAATTCAATATACTACTTGCCTTCACACAAATCCAGTCTAGCATTTAAAAGTTGTTTTTTTAAAAATCTGTTTTTCATATGTGCTCATAATTGTGTTTCCCCTCGTCCACAAGGCCTGTATGAGGGACATCCCTGGCTGTAAGTGGCTGGACCAGTGGACAGAGTTGGCTCAGAGGTATGGCAACCACACACAACCATTTCCCCTCTTCTAACTAACACTGACTCAGTGGAGCCAACCACACTGTCTGCTCTAAATCAATTATCTGATGCTTAGCTTACACATTTTCAAGGATGTCAGAGCAATGTAAATAGGCTTCAGACCACTTGATAGGCTTTTATAGGACATGCGTGTGAATGGATTGTATTCATCATTCCCTCTTCTCTCCCTCCATTTCTTCCTCTCTCTCCTTCTATCCCCCTGTACCTCTCTCCTCTCCCTCTCTCCCTTTCCCCTCCCTCAGGTTTGCGTTCCAGTACAACCCGTCCCTGCAGCCTAGAGCCCTGGTGGTGTTTGGCTGCATCAGTAAGAGGGTGACCCACGGCCAGATCAAACAGATCATCAGGATCCTCAGCAAGGCCAGCCCCCTGCTCAGCATAGACCGGGTCTGTGTCCCATCACTCCCATCATGCCCTATTGCTCGCTACATTATATTATACACAGAATTAGGACAACTCATTGAAAGCACTTCCTGAATGACTGTACTGTCTTGTCAAATGTATACAGTACCAGTCAAAAGTTTGGACACCTACTCATTCAAGGGTTTTTCTTAATTTTTACTATTTTCTACAATGTAGAATAATAGTGAATACATTAAAACTATGAAATAACACATATGGAATCATGTAGTAACCAAAAAAGTGTTAAACAAATCAAAATATATTTTATATTTGAGATTCTTCAAAGTAGCCACCCTTTGCCTTGATGACATCTTTGCACACTCTTGGCATTCTCTCAACCAGCTTCATGAAGAACGCTTTTCCAACAGTCTTGAAGGAGTTCCCAGACCAGGCCGTCTGTGAGGTCACTGACCACCTTCCAGAGACACTTGAAACCCTACCTCTTTAAGGAATACCTGGAATAGTATAAAGTAATCCTTCTTCCCCCACCCCCCATAAAAAATTTATTAAAAAAAGTGGTTGTCCCACTGGCTATCATAAGTTGAATGCACCAATTTGTAAGTCGCTCTGGATAAGAGCTAAATGATGTAAATGTAATGCTGAGCACTTGTTGGCTGCTTTTCCTTCACTCTGCGGTCCAACTCATCCCAAACCATCTCAATTGGCCTGAGGTCGGGTGATTGTGGAGGCCAGGTCATCTGATGCAGCACTCCATCACTCTCCTTCTTGGTCAAATAGCCCTTACACAGCCTGGAGATGTGTTTTGGGTCATTGTCCTGTTGAAAAACAAATGATAGTCCCACTAAGCGCAAATCAGATGGGATGGCGTATCACTGCAGAATGCTGTGGTAGCCTTGCTGGTTAAGTGTGCCTTGAATTCTAAATAAATCACAGACAGTGCCACCAGCAAAGCACCCCCACACCATCACACCTCCTTCATGCTTCATGGTGGGAACAATACATGCGGAGATCATCCGTTCACCTACCCTGCGTCTTACAAAGACACAGCGGTTGGAACCAAAAGTCTCACATTTGGACTCATCAGACCAAATGACACATTTCCACCGGTCTAATGTCCATTGTTCGTGTTTCTTGGCCCAAGCAAGTCTCTTCTTCTTATTGGTGGCCTTTAGTAGTGGTTTCTTTGCAGCAATTCGACCATGAAGGCCTGATTCACTCGGTCTCCTCTGAACAGTTGATGTTGAGATGTGTCTGTTACTTGAACTCTGTGAAGCATTTATTTGGGCTGCAATCTAAGGTGCAGTTAACTCTAATGAACTTATCCTCTGCAGCAGAGGCAACTCTGGGTCTTCCTTTCCTGTGGCGGTCCTCATGAGAGCCAGTTTCATCATAGCGCTTGATGTTTTTTGCGACTGCACTTGAAAAACTTTAAAAGTTCTTGAAATGTTTCCAGATTGACTGACCTTCATGGCTTAAAGTAATGATGGACTGTAGTTTCTCTTTGCTTATTTGAGCTGTTCTTGCCATAAAATGGACTTGGTCTTTTACCAAATAGGGCTATCTTCTGTATTCCACCCCTACCTTGTCACAACACAACTGATTGGCTCAAACGCACTAAGAAGGAAAGAAATTCCACAAATTAACTTTTAACAAGGCACACCTGTTAATTGAAATGCATTCCAGGTGACTACCTCATGAAGCTGGTTGAGAGAATGCCAAGACTGTGCAAAGCTGTCAAATGCAAAGGGTGGCTACTTTGAAGAATCTCAAATATAAAATATGTTTTGATTAGTTTAACACTTTTTTGGTTACTACATGATTCCATATATGTTATTTCATAGTTTTGATGTCTTCACTATTATTCTACAATGTAGAAAATAGTACAAATAAAGAAAAACCCTGGAATGAGTAGGTGTGTCCAAACTTTTGACTGGTACTCTATGTACTGTATCTTTGCAGTGCAAAAAAAAAAAAGGGGCTGTTGTCAAAATAGATTATATCACTTCAAGTAACTGCAGTTGCATCTTGTGTACTTTTTATCTGCTAAGTGACATAAGTCCACATAGATATCACTACTCTTGTGGTAATGTTGCACATTTTCAAATAGATTCTGCTACAAGTATTGGGAGTAGCTGTACATTGTCTGATCCTGTCTGTTGAAAGGTGCTGTGTTTAGTATAGCCTGTGCTGCTCAGACTGAACTGACCTGTTGTCTTCTGTCTGTCCATAGGGTCTGGAGAGCTGTCTAAAGGGACCTGATAACTACAACAGCCAGGTGTTAATAGAAGCCACAGTCATTGCTCTCACCAAGCTACAGCCGCTCCTCAACAAGGTACACACACACACAGACACACAGATGGCCACTCAAAGGTTAATTTAAGAGATGGATGTGCTAAATGTTCTGGTGAGCTAACTTCCTCTTGTGTGTGTGTGTGTGTGTGTGAGAACCACATTCTATTGAGTATAACCCAAATGTTTGAAGCAGTTTGACCGAGAGGAGGGAAGTTATTTTGGCCCTGGCCTGTATGTGGTGAAGAGGCTGCTGACCGACAGTAGATCTTGGCAGTAAATGGTCGTGTGAGACTCGCTTTGACTGCAAGTGTGTTTGTTGGCCCTCCACGGCCCGCCTATGCACAAGGCCCTATGTTTGTGTGTGTGTGTGTGTGTTGGACGGTAGTGGTGGTGAGAGTAAATAACAGCCTGTGTTTTTTCTGCAGGACTCCCCCATGCACAAGGCTCTGTTCTGGGTGGCCGTGGCTGTGCTCCAGCTGGACGAGGTCAACCTCTACTCTGCCGGCACCGCCCTGCTGGAGCAGAACCTCCACACACTGGACAGCCTCAGGGTCTTCAATGACAAGGTACTAAAAACACAAACATACACACGGTTCAAAAGGTTTGTCTTCCACAAACATTCGGCTCACATTTTCAGCCAGGTATTTTTACAGTTTCACTTTGATATCATTCTCTTTCCCTAACTTCAATTGTAGATGTGTTAATTGTGTGTGTTCCTCCCCTCTCTCCCCGTCCAGAGTCCAGAGGAGGTGTTTATGGAGATCAGGAAGCCTCTGGAGTGGCACTGTAAACAGATGGACCACTTCGTGGGCCTCAACTTCAACTCCAACTTCAACTTTGCACTAGTGGGTCACCTGTTGAAAGGTAAGTATGTGGGGGTGTCTAAGCATTGGGTCAGCCGGGGACTGCATGGTTTAGCTCTTCGTCTCTAACAACCCACCTCTCTGTCTAGGGTACAGACACCCCTCCCCCAACACAGTGGCGCGGACCATCCGGATCCTCCACACACTGCTGGCCCTGGTGGGAAAACACCTCAACTGTGACAAGTTTGAGGTGAACACCCAGAGTGTGGCCTACCTGGCAGGTGAGTTAACGGAGAGAACCACAATGAAGCCATACTTTTATTTTTCAGCCATAGTAGGATTGTACATATTGTCTTTAAACAATTATATATTATATACTATATATTATAGTTTCTGCATAGAAAATAAAATGATCTAGTAGTGAAGTAGCCTGTGAAATGTCTGTGTGTGTAGCTCTCCTCACTGTCTCGGAGGAGGTCCGCAGCCGCTGCAGCCTCAAGCACAGGAAGTCCCTGCTCCTCTCAGACGTTACCATGGAGAATGTTCCCATGGACACGTACTCTGTGCACCACAGCGACCCCAGCTGCCGGTGAGTGACTGTACAGGGCTGCCTGCTGAGTTGATGTAGAGGCTGACAGCATAGCTGCAGCACCAACTGACTAAGCAGAATTTGTCTCTCGCTGTATTGTACAATGTCAAAGAGGAATTTGATGGCCATATGTGTTCACCTATCAGAATGTTTTGTTCCCTCTGTGTCAGAACTCTTAGGGAGAGTCAGCCGTGGACGTCCCCCAAGGTGTCGGAGCGCTACTTAGTGGTCCACTACCCCACAGGGGGGCAGATCAGCCCGCGCACACGGAAGTCCATGAGCCTGGACATGGGCCAGCCTTCCCAAGCAAACACTAAGAAACTGCTGGGTAAGACACCTGTCAGTCATTCTCCACTGCTAGACCCAGGCCTCTGACCAACAGAGGAGTTTTAACATGTGACAACTGATCAGAGGGATTTAGACTATACACATTCATACAGGATGACTTGGATATCCATAGAATATCCATGCAGGTATGTGCTAATTTAGGTTTTGGGAATTGACCTGTGTATGTATGCCCCATTGTTTAACATGACTCATGTTTTTTTCTATGCTGGCTCACCAGGCACTAGGAAGAGTTTTGATCACTTGATATCAGACACTAAAGCACCAAAGAGGCCAGAGATGGAGTCTGGAATCACCACGCCTCCAAAGATGAGGAGGGTGGCGGAGAACGATTACGAGTGTCCAGGTCAGTGTCTGTCTCCTGTACACCACACAATGTTTGTGGCTGTTGACACTGATGTTAAAGGGGCAATCCGTAGTTGAAACAATAATAACGCACACTCCCCGCCACTGTTTCGGTAAAAAGATGAGGCATGGGGCTGGAGAAATGTAACCACTCTCAAATTCATAGACAGAGCTACGGATTCAAGAACTGACCATCCCATGATATCAAAATTATAGTTTTAACCATGTTTTGAGGCTAAGAAGTGTTCGTTTACATTTACTTTGAAGTAAAACACGCTTGTATCTTGGGTTCTGATAGAGTACAACAATTGAACTAAGCTCATGAGGCATTTTATAAGTTATATTCTTCAAGAATCATTGGGTACATAATAATAATTTAATAATAATTAATAATTAAGTCCAAAAATTGATGTGGAAACAGCACAATCTTTGAAACTGACACGTCTCTATCTCTCTCTTTCTTTCTCACTCTCTCACACACCCTCTCTCTCTCTCCGTCTCTGTCTCACTATCTCCTCCCCTCCCCTCCATTCCACAGAATCGACCCAAAGAATCTCCCACCATACCCTGAGGAAGGTGTCTGTGTCAGAGTCCAACGTGCTGCTGGATGAAGAGGTCCTCACAGACCCCAAGATCCAGGCTCTGCTGCTCACTGTCCTGGTGAGACCACTCACTCCACTCCCCTCCACCTCCATCTCTCTCTCGCTTTCTTAACCTCCCTTTCTCTCTCTGTATTAGTTTGTGCCTATTTCTAACATGCTTATCTCTATGCTACAGGCTACGTTGGTGAAGAATACAACAGATGAGTTTGACCAGAGAATCCTCTACGAGTTTTTAGCTGAAGCTAGTGTTGTCTTCCCTAAAGTCTTTCCAGTTGTGTAAGTGTTTCATTTCAACCCAATAAAGTATGTATTTTTTCCAATCCCCTTTAATGTGTACACATGCATAAGTAACCTTCATCCTTCATATCATCTTGTGGTTTTCTCTCCAGTCATAACCTGCTGGACTCGAAGATCAACACCCTCCTATCACTTTGCCAGGACCCTAACCTCCTAAACCCCATCCATGGCATCGTGCAAAGTGTGGTGTACCACGAGGAGTCACCCCCCCAGTACCAGCCCTCCTACCTGCAGAGTGAGACTCCACCCACTCCTCCCTACATACAGTTACAACTGTGGGTTCTGTAGTGAAAATGGCCATTTAATACTCATCAGTGTTTCTTCTGTTTCTCTCTCAGGCTTTGGGTTTAATGGTCTATGGAGATTCGCTGGGCCCTTCTCAAAGGTGAGCAGACACAACTCATTTGCCTCTTTAGAGTATGGAAGGTTTATTGTCAGTGTTTGTAAATGGCTTTCCATTCTGCTTGTGCCAACAGCAAACCCAGTTCCCAGACTACGCTGAGCTGATAGTGAAGTTTCTGGATGCTTTGATTGACACGTATCTGCCGGGGATCGACGAGGAGACGAGCGAGGAGTGTCTGCGTACGCCCACGTCGCCCTACCCCCCGCCCGCCCAGAGCCAGCTCAGCATCACAGCCAACCTCAACCTCTCCAACTCCATGACCTCACTGGCCACCTCCCAGCACTCCCCAGGTCTGATCACAGATACAGTACACACACACACACGCACACACACACAAACACATGCAGTCAGACCAATCCAGCCGTTCTGTCTCTTGGCAGATTTGATTCTAAGGAATAGCTGTGAAACTTTACATTAGCCTTTATCTCAAAGAAAATAGACATTTGATTCATTGACCTGTCTGCTTTTTGTCTTCATCTTAATATAGTCTGGCCTGTTTAGTCTTTCCATTTTACCAATCAAAAGAATCAACATGCACTAACAAACACAAAATTAGAGAGAAATATAAATTACCCATCCATCCATTTCCAACTGAATCCAACCTCATCTGAAAAGTTCCATCCACTATACATAGTGGGTTCACCAACCTGGTCCATGTGTAAGGCTTATTCTCACTCATTCTCTCTCTTTTTCTTTAACCCATTAAATGCATGATGTTCTCAAACTTTATTATTTAGTGTTCATACACATTTAATTTCATGTTTTTGTTCACTTTTCTTCCTCATTTGTTGTGCTTGTTGCGGTGTAGTTTATAGACAATCTCCAATTTTGTCTCATTTGAGGTCCACCAAGGTGGTACAATTAGAATTAGAAACTATTTACACTCCCCTACGTATTTATTTGGACAGAAGCTAAAACTTTTAATTTGGCTCTATACTCCAGCAAATGTTTTATATGAGGTGACAGTACAGAATGTCACCTTTTATTTTAGGGTATTTTCATACATATCTGTTTTATCGTTTAGAAATGAAAGCACTTTATGCATCTAGTCCCCCATTTGAAGGTGTCATTAGTATTTGGACAAATTCACTTATACTTTATGGATGCTACCATGACATAATCATGAATTAATTACAGAAATCATGAATGAATCGTGAATAATGATGTGTGAGAAAGTTATTGATGCACTACCAATAACAGGGGAGGTTAGTATTTTTCTGGGGGTACTCATTATTATTCACAATTCATTCATGATTTTCTGTAATCATGGTAGCATCCACATTAATGTGTTCAGAACATATTCTATTCTTATTTATAATAAAAGTGACTCCAAAATGACACTATACATTATTTAGAGTCTCAAGCTTGATGTAGTCATTGAGTGCTAGGAATATGGGACCAAATACTAAACTTTTGACTAAATGTAATACACCGTAAGTGAATTTGTCCAAATACTTATGACACCTTCAAATGGGGGGACTAGATACGTAAAGTACATTCATTTCTAATCGGTAAAACAGATATGTATGAAAATACCCTCAAATAAAAGTTGACATTCTGTACTGTCGCCTCATACAAAACATTTGATCTCAAATCCAAAATGCTGGAGTATAGTGTCAAATTAAGTGTAGCTGCAATGGGCAAATAATGTCTCAGCCTATAGTTTGCACATTCGTGGTATGTTATGTTATACTGTATGTCTATATACACTGCTCAAAAAAATAAAGGGAACACTAAAATAACACATCCTAGATCTGAATGAACGAAATAATCTTATTAAATACTTTTTTCTTTACATAGTTGAATGTGCTGACAACAAAATCACACAAAAATTATCAATGGAAATCAAATTTATCAACCCATGGAGGTCTGGATTTAGAGTCACCCTCAAAATTAAAGTGGAAAACCACACTACAGGCTGATCCAACTTTGATGTAATGTCCTTAAAACAAGTCAAAATGAGGCTCAGTAGTGTGTGTGGCCTCCACGTGCCTGTATGACCTCCCTACAATGCCTGGGCATGCTCCTGATGAGGTGGCGGATGGTCTCCTGAGGGATCTCCTCCCAGACCTGGACTAAAGCATCCGCCAACTCCTGGACAGTCTGTGGTGCAACGGGGCGTTGGTGGATGGAGCGAGACATGATGTCCCAGATGTGCTCAATTGGATTCAGGTCTGGGGAACGGGCGGGCCAGCCCATAGCATCAATGCCTTCCTCTTGCAGGAACTGCTGACACACTCCAGCCACATGAGGTCTAGCATTGTCTTGCATTAGGAGGAACCCAAGGCTAACCGCACCAGCATATGGTCTCACAAGGGGTCTGAGGATCTCATCTCGGTACCTAATGGCAGTCAGGCTACCTCTGGCGAGCACATGGAGGGCTGTGCGGCCCCCCAAAGAAATGCCACCCCACACCATGACTGACCCACTGCCAAACCGGTCATGCTGGAGGATGTTGCAGGCAGCAGAACGTTCTCCACGGCGTCTCCAGACTCTGTCACGTCTGTCACATGTGCCCAGTGTGAACCTGCTTTCATCTGTGAAGAGCACAGGGCGCCAGTGGCAAATTTGCCAATCTTGGTGTTCTCTGGCAAATGCCAAACGTCCTGCACGGTGTTGGGCTGTAAGCACAACCCCCACCTGTGGATGTCGGGCCCTCATACCACCCTCATGGAGTCTGTTTCTGACCGTTTGAGCAGACACATGCACATTTGTGGCCTGCTGGAGGTCATTTTGCAGGGCTCTGGCAGTGCTCCTCCTGCTCCTCCTTGCACAAAGGTGGAGGTAGCAGTCCTGCTGCTGGGTTGTTGCCCTCCTACGGCCTCCTCCACGTCTCCTGATGTACTGGCCTGTCTCCTGGTAGCGCCTCCATGCTCTGGACACTACGCTGACTGACACAGCAAACCTTCTTGCCACAGCTCGCATTGATGTGCCATCCTGGATGAGCTGCACTACCTGAGCCACTTGTGTGGGTTGTAGACTCCGTCTCATGCTACCACTAGAGTGAAAGCACCGCCAGCATTCAAAAGTAACCAAAACATCAGCCAGGAAGCATAGGAACTGAGAAGTGGTCTGTGGTCACCACCTGCAAAACCAGTCCTTTATTGGGGGTGTCTTGCTAATTGCCTATAATTTCCACCTGTTGTCTATTCCATTTGCACAACAGCATGTGAAATTTGTCAATCAGTGTTGCTTCCTAAGTGGACAGTTTGATTTCACAGAAGTGTGATTGACTTGGAGTTACATTGTGTTGTTTAAGTGTTCCCTTTATTTTTTTGAGCAGTGTACTTTTGGAAATGTTTCATCATTTGTTTTAGTCTTTAAGAACATTTGAGTAATTCATGCTATGCCACTATTTGGCAGAAAGAATTATCCTCTTTTGCTCCATATTGTACATTTTATTTGGAACTAAAGAGACTTAATTATACGGAGACTGGAGTATTTATACTTCTAAACCGTATTGTCGGAGACACCTGAGAATGCTGAATGAACGTTTTATTTTATTTCTGTCACTCTTTGTTAAGTTGGGTTATGTTCTGTTTTTGTTAATCATGTTGCTCTTTGTTTCCTGTCATTCCTCTTTTTGGGTTGCCATGGTCACTCCCTCCTGTTTCTTTCCCACTCTGTGTCTGAGAAGCTCCTCTGCCTTGCTCTAAGTCCGCCGTTTTCGCCCCATACCTCGTCCGGCCAGGTATTACAGCCCCTCGTCCCCATGCTGCTCCTCACTCCCAGGCACACGGCACAGCCTCACAGAGGTGTGCGTGGGGTAGCAGAGGCCCATCACAAAGCCCAACAACACTACTTGAGCATTTGTGATTAAGTCTTTGTACATAATGTTTCAATGCCCATACACCATATTATGTCCTGTTTGTTCAAAACACAGAGCAATCCTTTTGCGATAAGTTGGAGCACTTAGGTCAGTACATGGGTTGACTACTCCCCCTATTGTTGGATTTGTATATAACAATGTGTATAAAACAACAGAGAATCCCTATGTGGTTTTTACAGTATTGATAGCCACAAAGGTAGATTGCATATAGTTCTTCAGGTGGATGTCTCAAAAGCATTAGCTTTACTGTATAATTATATAATAGAATAGTTTGTCATGTATTAGTGTGACATATTATACCTAATGGCTTGTGTTTGGTGTGTGTGTGTCCTCCGACAGGCATCGACAAGGAGAACGTGGAGCTCTCTCCGACCACGGGTCACAGCAACAGCGGGCGCACGCGCCATGGTTCTGCAAGCCAGGTGCAGAAACAGCGCAGTGCAGGCAGCTTCAAACGGCCCAGCATCAAGAAGATTGTATGAGAGAGGCCCACCACTAGGACCCCATACCGGGGTCGCCCACGCCAGTCATCATGCTGCACTTCTACTCCAACTATCCTGTCCTATCAATCTCTCTCGCTCTCGCTCTCGCTCTCGCTCTCTCTCAGCCTTGATTCTCCTCAGTTTCCTTTTGTTGTTTTTTGTGTGTTTTCTTTACCCTAACCCGTCCAGTCAGCCATATTTGCTTGACGATCAACATATATTGAAGAACTGTTTTGCAGTTTTGTTTGTGAAACAGTCAGTGTCTGAGTCTGGCATTGTTTTATGTTTGGTCTTTTTGTGTCACATAATGAGCTACATTGGAATCCTTTTTTAAAAACAGCATTAGTTGAAAGAAAGCACTGACATTGACAACACAGCAGAAACAGTAGGGATCATAGTATCTGAAGCCATTTTGTTGTCTTGCTTCTTTGTCTTGGTTTAATTCTCTATCATAATGAAAAAGTATTACAAGAAAACAATTTCTGTGATTTGCACAACTTTCTGTAATTCAACATGCATGTACATTTGTTAGTTTTTTGCCTTTAAGTGTTGTTAGTAGAAGGACATTTTTCTTCAAGCTGAGAGAGCTTTGCCAATGGGACTGAACTAGATCAAATTATAAACTGCAAATGCCTCTCATTGAGACACATGGAAATGACAAGAGGGATTGGACCTTGAAAGGTATCCCTCAGAGTGACACTGCAAAGGGACAGCACTACCCTGACACACACCATTCTGGAGGAAATCACTGAAAGCACTAAAACCTTCCTGTATTTGCAACATCTGTGAAAAGCATGGACAACAACAGACATTAGTGTTTTACTGTGCTGTGGAGGTGGGGGCTGGATGATCGATTTGGCCTGTTTGAGCTTTGTCAGGCACAATCCAATGATGGCCAAGCCATGTGTCTTTATTGGTTACTGATTGTCAAAGCTGTGGGGATTCCTCTTGATTAGGTGGTATTTTTATTCTTACATGATGGAGTGCCAGAGAGGGTCCACTAGACATGCCACTCTGCTGTTGGAGGACAGCAGCCTTGCAGGTTTCAGAGCTTAAGCTTTTAATCAGCACCCTATTCACGTTTCACAACACTATGTCAGGGAAAGTTGGGAAGGAAAATCTGGAGGAAAAACAGGACTAGACAATGTCCTCCTATGTTGGAATGGACATTGGAAATCGGCCTTAGCTTTGAAATATATAATATCTATAGTGGTAGTCTCTCAGTAATAATTGTCTCATTCTTGCCCACACTTACTATACACACACAACACACACTTGGGAGGTTGTTTTGTTCATTGTGTGCCTTTTCTAGGGTTTTCAGATGTGTGTGTGTGTGTGTGTGTGTGTATATATAGGTATATATATCACACACACACAATACCTTATGATACAAGCATACAGTGATTTCTAATCAGCTGCCTGATAATAATTAACCTATATGGTTAAATATTCATATAAAACATTGTTAACATTCTGTACCACTTGTCAAAACAAGTATTCAAACAGAAATTCCATGACTCTAGGGACCAGATTTGCTGAGGGTTTGCATCTGCAAATGTTGCACCTGTATTTAAGAGTGAATGAAATGTTGAAGTCAGAACAGTATTGTTTTCAGTTTGCTATTTGTTTTGTGAAAATTGGTGCCAATTATGTTCTGGTTCGAAAGCTAAAGTCAAGTCTGTTCATTATGTAAATAGTAAAATAATGTAAGTTAATTACAATCAAATTGTATTGGTCGCATACACAATGATATAGTTATGATTTATTTTAGAATTTATTATAATTTTATCATTGCAAAATAAATATTTAATTTGAAAGATTTGAAATATTAATTAATTAAAAATAACCTATGGTAGTAATCACCTCAAGACACATACCTACTGAATAGTGTTTTCCATGTTTAAAATCAGCTTACTGAAATGCTGACAAAAAAAAGCATTGTGAGGGATTGAGACAATAGTCAGACAGTCTGTTCTCAGATATGAGAACTATGTGTATTGGGAGTATAGCTGTACAGGGTGTTACTGGCCCTTCTTGCCATTGTCTTCCCTCATTAGTCAATAGTGTGGCACATGTAAAGGTATAGGCATAGGGGTCAGTCCCATGATGCAGTGCGGCAAGCCCTGTGATGCTGCACCAAAGACTAGCTTGCAGTAGCGAAAGGAAAATCAAACCTGTTCTGTAGTTTTATCATTGTTGACTTTCTCTGAACCTTTTCAGTTGTTCCAATATGCCTTGCACAGACTGAACGTGTGGCAAACAGTAGAGACTTTCCTTTCTCTAACAACAAGGTACAGTTTGTTGAGCAGCACAGGAGTCCTCTGGTCACACCATTCAATTTCTCGTGGAGCCTGGTTCCTCATTTCTGCTGTTTGAGGTTATGTGTACCAGGTATCCAACCAGTGCCATACATTGAGTCTCTAAGTCATGGTTGTTTTGGATGCTTGTGCCAACTCCTTCAGAATGTTTTTTGTAAGTGTACTTGTTACCATTATGATAATCCTGGGGTAAAATACAATTCCTTTAGATGTTTTTGACTTGCCTTTGCTGAGGAGAGCATGTGTATTATGTACACTGAGTAGGAGTTGGTGTATAAAAAGGAGTATAGAGAGAGGGCGAGGGAGGATATGAAGACTGACAGTTTAAAAAAACACTAGTGAATGTTTTACCCGGCCATTTAGTTTGTCACATACATCCAGCCATCTTAACAATCAACAACCATGCTCAACCATACATTTGTTTTTCTATTCTATTAATCTGGTTTAGATTTGACATGATGACCACAAGAAAATGAACAATGTGCACACTTAGTTGTTTTTTCCAAATGCAAAGTGTGTTGGTGCTGTTGAGAGGTAATGAACCTTGTATAATGAAGTTGAACTCCATGCCTGGATTTTGTTTACAAATGTTTTATTATACTTGAATCAGGAGGATATATGTCCAGAAGAAGCAGTTGCATATCATGGAAAAGGAAAAAATTAAGATTTAAAGATAAAATGGAACAAGTTTACCAAACGCAATCAACAAGATTTCAAAAGATCTAGTGTGAAGGAAACCAAAGTTAAGGATTGGCAATATAGTACAAACAAACTCTGAAACTACTGTGTATTGATATAATCATCTGAGATGTCCAATATACTAACCCACAAATTACAGTTTGCTTTTTTATGGGTATGAGAGATGATACAACTAGTGAAAGAGAGATGGACCAAGCTATGAATCAATGGTTTTTGCTTTTTAGTCAGAACCGCAGCATTCGTCATCATGTGCTATGATGTGTGTATCGTAAAAGTGTCAGTTATTTAGTTCTGTCCTCATCAGACTTTTAGGAACTATACAGATCTCTGTTTCAAGCTCATATGCTTTGAAGAGTGAACCCAACCAACTGTTTTTATTTTATATTTCTATATTTTACAGTGTATACCAGGCAGACAGAACACTTTGATAACTATCTTCAATGGACCCCTTCTTCTCAGTGTCTCATCTGAAAGTGTAGGCCAGAGGGAATGTTTTTGCCTTGGTTTTACTTAATGGAAATGTGCCACTTTAAAGAACTGAAAGGAATTAATTCACATACAATGTGTCCTAATTTGAATGAATTGAACATGTCTGTACTTGAAGTCTCCTAACATTTATTTGCAGCAGCGCAGAAGAGACAGTATATACAGTCGTGGTCAAAAGTTTTGAGAATGACACAAGTATTGGTCTTCACAAAGTTCGCTGCTTCAGTGTTATGAGATATTTTTGTCAGATGTTACTATGGTATACTGAAGTATAATTACAAGCATTCCATAAGTGTCAAAGGCATTTATTGACAATTACATTAAGTTTATGCAAAGAGTCAATATTTGCAGTGTTGACCCTTCTTTTTCAAGACCTCAGCAATCCGCCCTGGCATGCTGTCAATTAACTGCTGGGCCACATCCTGACTGATGGCAGCCCATTCTTGCATAATCAATGCTTGGAGTTTGTCGGAATTTGTGGGTTTTTGTTTGTCCACCCGCCTCTTGATGATCGACCACAAGTTCTCAAATGGGATTAAGGTCTGGGGAGTTTCCTGGCCATTAACCCAAAATGTCGATGTTTTGTTCCCCGAGCCACTTAGTTATCACTTTTGCCTTATGGCAAGGTGCTCCATCATGCTGGAAAAGGCATTGTTCGTCACCAAACTGTTCTTGGATGGTTGGGAGAAGTTGCTCTCGGAGGATGTGTTCTTTATTCTTTATTCATGGCTGTGTTCTTAGGCAAAATTGTGAGTGAGCCCACTCCCTTGCCTGAGAAGCAACCCCACACATGAATGGTCTCAGGATGCTTTACTGTTGGCATGACACAGGACGGATGCACTTACACCTGCCTGCTGCCATTCCTGAGCAAGCTCTGCACTGGTGGTGCCCCGATCCCGCAGCTGAATCAACTTTAGGAGACGGTCCTGGCGCTTGCTGGACTTTCTTGGGCGCCCTGACACCTTCTTCACAACAATTGAACCTCTCTCCTTGAAGTTCTTGATGATCCGATAAATGGTTGATTTAGGTGCAATCTTACTAGCAGCAATATCCTTGCCTGTGAAGCCCTTTTGTGCAAAGCAATGATGACGGCACGTGTTTCCTTGCAGGTAACCATGGTTAACAGAGGAAGAACAATGATTTCAAGCACCACCCTCCTTTTAAAGCTTCCAGTGTGTTATTCTAACTCAATCAGCATGACGAGTGATCTCCAGCCTTGTCCTCGTCAACACTCTCACCTGTGTTAACGAGAGAATCACTGACATGATGGCAGCTGGTCCTTTTGTGGCAGGGCTGAAATGCAGTGGAAATGTTTTTTGGGGATTAAGTTCATTTTCATGGCAAAGAGGGACTTTGCAATTAATTGCAATTCATCTGATCACTCTTCATGACATTCTGGAGTATATGCAAATTGCCATCATCAAAACTGAGGCAGCAGACATTGTGAAAATTAGTATTTGTGTCATTCTCAAAACTTTTGACCACGACTGTAGATATCAGTTAACCACTTTGTTCAATGCAAGGATAAAACAATTAAATGTATTTTCTCTTCAAACGTTGGTTTAATATAAAGGAATGGCCATTTGGACTTACTTTCAAAATGGTAAAGCATAGAAA